CTGAATCGGCCCTGGTGAGGTTGAGAAGGCCCTCGTGAGGTTGAGACGGCCCCGGTGAGCTTGCAACGGACCCGGTGGGGTTAAAACGGCCCCTGTGATTCTGGGACAGCCCCTGTGAGGTGGGGACGGCCCCTGTGAGGCTGAGATAGCCCCTGGGAAGCTGAGAAAAATACCACGTGATCTCACTCATTTATGGATAATAAGGACTATTATAGACTGATGAACCAAAATGGATACAGAGGCAGAGCAGCATTGAGCAGAATGTCAAAATACAGTGGGAACCCTGGGGAGGGTTGGGGGGGAGTAGGAGATCAACCGAAAGACTTATATGCATGCATATGAGAATAACCAATGGACACAAGACACTGGCAGTGGGAATGTCAAGGGGGGGGGGCGGGGGAAGGAGACATGTGTAATACTCTTTGTAATACTTTATGAAATAAAAATTAAAAAAATAGACCCGCCCAGGCCGAAAACCGACCTCTGCGCATGGGCCACGAAGTTTCAATCGCACTGTACGGGCACGCCCACACGTGGTATTTTGTGGAACAGCCACACTCAAGAGGCCAAAGAGCCGCATGTGGCTCAGGAGCCGCGGTTTGCCGACCACGGTCCTAGAGCAACGCTGTGTGGTCGGTGCGCCTTCCCCTTCCACAGAGGAGGGTCAGGGCCCCGACACGCACACAGTTGCTGGGGGGCAGCTGGCGCCCCAGCCCGGGGCTGGTTGGAGGCCTTAACCAAAGCGCATCAACTTGGAAGGGGTCCTGGGACGGATACATGTCCTCATCCCTCTGCGCCCCCACATCCCAGCACCATCCTCTGGGCCCATGTTCCCTCCGTCACCCGCACCCGCCAAGCCCAACTCCTCGGCTCACAGGCCCACGATGTGGCCACAGGGTGACCTCCGTGAAAACCCCTCTGTGTCTCTCTGGCAGCCAAGCCCCCAGCGGGCTCCCCATGGCTCACGGATTCAGAGCCCGACCTTAGCTGAGACCTTGGTGGGTCTGGGCCCCGCTAACCTCTCCCCGCCCCTCCGCACGCTTCCTGCCGCCCCTCAGCTGCCGGCTGTCGGTGCTTCTATGAGAACAGCAGGCGATGGGGCCCCCTGTGCCTTCCTCCCTGGGTGACGTGGAGGGTTGGTATGAATAAATGAGCCTGGCCGGCGTGGCTCAGTGTTTGAGCATCGACCTAGGAACCTGGAGGTCATGGTTCAATTCCTGGTCAGGGCACAGGCCTGGGTTGTGGGCTCGATCCCTAGTGTGGGGCGTGCAGGAGGCAGCTGATCCATGATGCTCTCTCATCATTGATGCTTCTCTCTCTCTCTCTCCCTTCCTCTCTGAAACCAATAAAAATATTTTAAAAATAAATAAATACTCAGGGCTCTGGGCTGGGGCTGACACAGAGGGGGTGCAGGAGATTCTGGGGGCGTTATCAGGAAGGCCATCCCAGGGCTGGGGCAGAGGCCGGGGCGGGTCCCCTCGGCAGCAGGGCCCAGTGAGAAGGTGTGGGCGGGCCGCGCTCTGAACCCCCGGTGCATGCTCTTAGAGTGAGTGAGGGTCACGGCAGCTGGGAGCACGTCACGCCAGATGCTGGCTGACTTCAGAGCGAGAAAGAAAGGTGACTCAGGAGCGGGCCTGAGCATGGGGTCAGTCTGGGCCTCCATGGCCTGGGGGGGGAGCCGCCTGGGGACCCGTGGGGGTTCAGGGGATCAGTGAGTCCCGGGCTCCAAGGCGAGGAGCCCAGAGTGTGGAGGTGAGGGGCCTGTGCAGGGGGGACACCTGTGAGTGGGGTGCTCCTCTCCAGGGATGTGAGGTGTCCCAAGGAGCGTGGCCAGGTGGGAGCTGTGGTTGGGGGCGGCCACACGGGGCAGGGGGGAGGAAGCACGCACGCTCACTGGGCAAGAGAAGGCCAGAGCAGAGCCGGCCCCTGCCATGGTGGATGCCGGCAGGTAGACAGAGGCCGGGTGGGGCATTGAGGAGGCTGACCGGGAGGGCAGGGTGCCCATCAGCCAGGTGGGCAGGCAGGTGGTGTCTGGTCAGGGTGGCTCCTCCAGCAAAGGCAACAGTTTGTTCCACGGGGCCTGTGCCCGTCACACACACACACACACACACACACACCAGCACCGCCCGCCCTCCTGCTGTGCCAGCCACTCGGGCCCTGGGGATGCGGGTGACCGAGCCTGCAGGGGACTGGCTCCCTTGGAGGGAGACGGCAGGAAGCAGGGTCTGTCTGGGGCGGGAGGGGCTCCCCGAGGGTTTGTCCTGCCACGTGTGCTGGTCCCACTCAGGTGCCTGCGCTGAGCGCCCTGCAAAGGAGTGGAGACGGTGTGGGTGCAGCGGGTGTCAGCAATGGGGGATCCTGGGGGCATCATGGGCAGGAAAGCGCACCCTCACGCAATGCTGGCTTCGGTCAGAGGCACAGGCCCCAGGGTGAGGCGGATCTGCCAAGTCCGTGCCGTGGGGACATCAGGGGAGGCAGGAGCAGGGACACCCGCTGAGAGGCTGTGGCAGACATGGGAGCAGAGAGGGGCTGGGACGGGTGGCCTGTGGGTGGGAGCCGGGGCTCTGGGTGGGAGCCGGGGCTCGGGAGCTCTGTGGGGGGCGGGGGGAGGAGGGCGGGGAGATGGGGAGCCTAGGGTGTGCCGAGCTGCCGTCCACTCCTCTGCCCCCGCCAGGCCACCCTGGGCCTCACCCGGAATGTGCCAGGCGGAAGCTCAAACACCACTCTGACCACAGCTTCTCTCCCCCCCATACCCCCCCCCCGCCCGCATCATGCCCCTGCCAGCCTCACCGCCTCCTTAGAACGCGATCTCCCCAGGTGCCTCCTCCCCTGCCCCGACCCCACCTGCGGGGACGGCGCTCTGGGGACCTGGGTGCTGGGTTCTGGTTCATTGGGCGGAACCTCTGATCCTCCGGGTGGCCCGGCCGCTGCTCAGCCAAGCAGCTCCGGAGCAGGCCCTCGGCGCCCCCAGAGTCCCCAGGGGTTTGCTCCGCAGTTTCTTTCTAGAAGGACACGGAAGTCACGTGGGTGCTAGAAACGTTAGATGAAGACCGTTTTTTCGAATTTTGGGAGTTGGCGCGCCCGGAAAACCGCAGCACCTTACGGTGCAGAAGCCATTTGCCACTTGCAGCCGAGTCCCCTGGGAGACAAGTCCCTTGAGTCATGGCGGTCGGGGGTTTGGGGGTAAGAGATGGGGTTTGGGGTAAGAGACGGGAGTCGGGGTGAGAGACGAGGGTGGGGGTAAGAGACGGGGTTTTGGGGTGAAGGACGGGGTCGGGGTGGGAGGCTGGCAGAAGGAGTTGCAATGAGGCTGGGACCCTGGGGCCACTCCTATCTGCCCCCCGGTGGGCCCTGGCCCCAGCCCCGCTCACCCACCCCCACCCCCGCCTGCAGGACAGAGGCCTGCCCGCACTGGCTCCAGTACCCATGTGGCCGGGTGCAGGCAGGAGGGGCGGGCTAAGGGGGGCACTGCCCGGGTTTCCTGCCCGAGGAGGGGGCCTCCTGGCCTTTTCAATCGGGGACCCAGGCCCAGCCCTGCCTGGGGCTAGAGCCACCGGTTCTAGGGCAGCTGGGGCAGCAGAAGCCTCTCAGCGCCCAGGGCCCTGGCGGCAGCTGGGAGCGCCCTGATGCAATTGGGGGAGATGGCCGCTGCACCGGGGCCACCCCACCTGGCCACCCAACTAGGGGCTTCTGGGTGCTGGGACATCCTGCAGGCCCCTCGAGGCAGGGCCTCGGGGGTGGGAAGAGGCCCAGGAGGGCGCGGGTGTCTCCCCCCCGCCCCCTTCGTGATGGCTTTCCTCCCCCTCAGCTTCCAGGCCGCCTGGGCTACTGAGCTCAAAGTAAAACGAAGGAGTCACATGTGGTGCTCACATGGATGGATGGTTTGGGGGTTTGGGGCCGGGGTGGAGATTTTTGGGGTCTTTTCTCTGATGAACTGAACCGAGCTGCCCTCCCTGAAAGCTGGGGTCCCAGGGGAGTGTGGGCAGCCGGAGCCCCTGCCACTGAGGGCAGAGGCCGATCGGGCAGAGCATTTGCGAGGTCATCCGCTTGGCTGGGTGTCTCCGTGGGGCCCTGGGCAGGGACAGGCAGAGGGGCCGGGAAGCAGGAAGCCATGGGGTCCTGCCCGCCCCCTGGGACACACAGCGGAAGGTGGTGGTGATGGAGCAGGCCTGACTCAGTCAGGTCATGGAGGAGAGTGGCTTCCTCCAGGAGGCCTGCAAGAGGGGGTGGGGAGGGTGTGGTCTGCCCTCAGAGCCCATGCGTCAGGAGGAAGCACTGAGCTGTGACTGGGACCTGGGGCTCCGTGCGGGGCAGCCCTGCCTGAGCTCGGGGCCCTGGGTGCGGGCTGAGCCCCAGGACAGCCCTGTCACAGAGACGCTGGGAATTGCTTGGGGCGAAGCGGGGAGTGAAAGGCAGATCACCAGGTGTCCCTGTCTGGTCTGGGCTCTCACTTTCCCTCCTGGCTGTCCTGGCAGGGCAGGTGCAGGTGCAGGTGCAGGGCAGGTGCAGGGGCAGGTGCAGGGCTGGGCCTGGGGGCCGGGGAGGCCCAGCTGCTCGGCCTGGCCTGGCGGGGTGATCCCAGGCCCTGCGGACCTGCTTCTGGTGCTGAGGCTGCCCCTGTGGCACCCGGCTCTTGTTTTGTGTATATGTATATGTTTTTTATAGAAATGAGTATTTTATTTTTTTAAATATATTTTATTGATTTTCTACAGAGAGGAAGGGAGAAGGATAGAGAGTTAGAAACATCGATGAGAGAGAAACATCAATCAGCTGCCTCCTGCACACTCCCTACTGGGGATGTGCCCGCAACCAAGGTACATGCCCTTGACCGGAATCGAACCTGGGACTCTTCATTCTGCAGGCTGACGCTCTATCCACTGAGCCAAACCGGTTAGGGTTGTTTTGTATATTTTTATTGATGTCAGAGGGGAAGGGAGAGGGAGAGAGAGAGAGAGAGAGAAACATCAGTGATGAGAGGGAATCCTGGACCGGCTGCCACCTGCACGCCCCACACTGGGGATCAAGCTCCCAACCCAGGCAGTGCCCCGACCGGGAATCAAACCCTGACCTCCTGGTCCGTAGGTCGAAGCTCACCCACTGAGCCCCGCCGGCCCAGCCCCAGGCTCTCGCTGTTTAAAATTAAAAGCGTGTTTTTCCTGTGCTGGAAGTCACATCATCTGACATGAACCCTTTTCGGGTGACCCCGTCAGTGACATGCAGCACCTTCACCGTGCTGTGTGGCCACCACCTCGGTCCAGTTCCAGAACATTCTCATCAGCCCACAGGAGACCCCATGCCCACGAGCAGTCACTCCCCATCTCTCTGTCCCCAGCCCCTCCCGTGCCCGCGGCTGTGCCCGCCCTGGACACTCCGGTCGGCGGAGGCCAGGCCAGGCGGCCGTGGGTGTCCGGCTCCTCTCGCTGAGCAGCACCGGCCGTGCGGCGGGTGTGGGCGCTTTGTCCCCCTTCGTGGCCGAGCAATCGTCCGCAGTGTGGACCCGCCGCAACCTGGTGACCCACCCGTCGGCTGGTGCACGCTTGGGCTGTTCCGGCTTATTCTGAACAGTGGGACCGGGATGGGAGGTGGGATGCGGGGTCCACGCGCTGTGTGACGTTCCCTAAGTTGTTTTCCGTCTCTGGACTTAGAGGGTCCATTGGCAAGATGCAGGGGCTGGACCAGAGGGTCCGGGCCAGTCAGGTCTCCTGTGGGCACACCCTGCCCACACCCGGAGGCTGTGCTGACTAATTCCTGTGCACCCCAAAAGGGCCGTCCTGGGGAATAGGCGCTGCTGTCCAGCCTCCCAAGCCCCCCCAATCTGGACCACCCGGTGGCCCGCTCCCTGCCCCCCACTCAGCCCCCCTGGATCCAGGTCAGCTCAGTCCAGCACAGGGACCACCTGCCAGCAGGAGGTGTGCCAGTGCTGCCAGCTCCTTGTCAAAACCCTGTGGGTGGTGAGCTGAAGGGTTGTTGGCTTGGGGGGTGGACACGGCTGAGTTCATCTCCAACCCCGAGAAACCCCGTGGCCGCTCCTGCGCTCCAGCTGTGCTGTGTGACCCCCGCAGGCCACTCACCCTCTCTGAGCCTGCAGCAGAGTGAGCTTGTGGCCGGCACTTTCTGAGCTGCGTGTCCCAGGCCGGCTGTCCTCACCGAGCCCATCTTAGTCCCCAGGCCTCCCTGCCCCGTGCCCTGCCTGGTCCCGGGGTGAGCTCAGGGCTGTGCCCCTGGTCCTGGGACTCGCTGCCCAGCACGTGGCAGTCCTGGGGGCGAGCCTGCGTGGGGACACAGTGACAGGGTTCGGGGGTCTGTTCCTCTCCCGGTGGCTCCGGGCAGGTCCGGGCCTGCCCGCTCGGGCACTGCCAGGCTGTAGCTGCTGCGCCAGGGACCTGGAGATGCCACCTCAGGCTGTGGAAGTGGGTCCTGCCCCTCCCCCACCGTGGGGCCAGAGCCAGCAGAGCCCACCTGGCCCCCGCCTCTCCCTCCTGGGCATGGAGGCTCTCGGGAGGGGCACTGGTCAGGACCCAGGCCCCCACCCCCCTGGGCCCTGCACGTGTCCCTCGAGGGGCGGCCCCACATCCAGGGTCTCCGGGAGCCCCCAGCCCGGCTCCAGACCCCGGGCTCAACCTGGAGGCAAGTTCATCATCACCCCCAGCAGGGTCTCCCTCGGGGGCCGTGGAGACAGGTGCGTGAGGCCCGAACCCCGCTCCCGAAGGGCCGCGGAGCCGGGCTCGCTGTCGCCGCCCCCCCCCCCCCCCCCCCCCCCCCCCCCCCCGGCACAGGTGGCGGCTCTGAAAAGGCCTCGCGGCCCGGGGCCTCCCCCAGCCGGGGTGAAGCGGGGCCTGCAGGTCTGCCAGGCAGGCCTCCTGCCCACTCACGGAATGGGGGAGGGGAGCACGCAGGGGCCTCCCCCAGCTCACTGCCACCCTTCCTGCTGCAGAGGGAAGATGTCCGGGCCCACCGCCCCCGACGAGGGAACCACCTTCCAGAACCTGTGGAACTCGCTGTGAGTATTTCCTGCCCCCCCCACCCCCCGGCTGGCGGGCTGGGGTGCTGCTGGGCCTGCTCCTGGGGACCCAGCTCTAAAGTACGAGCACTTCCGTCTGACCAGCTTTCAGAGGGGTCGGGGCCAGGGGCGGCCCCGGGGACAGAGCCCACTGTGACCCTCCCTCCTCCGTGTTCACAGCATGGGAGGGGAGGAGGCAGGAGGGGGAGGGGAGGAGGCGGGAGGGGGAGGGGAGGAGGCGGGAGGGGGAGGGGAGGAGGCAGGAGGGGGAGGGGAGGCTGCGGGCATGAGTCCCTGGGACTCACAGGGGTGGGGGGGGGAGCAGGAGAATTAGGCTCCCCACCCCCCCAAGCCTGGGCTGGTCCCGAGCTGGGCCTGGGCAGTCGGGCTGACAGCGCTGCTTTCTGTCCCCAGGCCCCACAGCACCTACTTTGACCTGCCCCAGGCGAGCCAGGGCAGCAGCGAGGGGGTCAGACCCGACAGCACCTACTTTGACCTGCCCCAGGCGAGCCAGGGCAGCAGCGAGGGGGCGTGTGGCACAGAGGCCGGCATGGACTTCCACCTGCCAGGCATGGCCGCCTCGTCCGTCATGGTGAGTGGGGTGGCCGCCAGCAGAGGGTGGGCAGTGAGTGTGGACTGTCCTGTCCTGGGAGCCTGCGGACAGCAAACAGGCTCTCTGCATGCTCTGTGGGGTTGTCAGGGCATTTCAGGGGCAAAACAGAAAATGTATCAGCTCACATAACCCTCCTGTAGAGATGCCAGGGACAGGTGTGAACTCAGCTATGGCTGGATCAGGGGCAGGTGTGGGCTCAGGTATGGATGGATCAGGGGCAGGTGTGAGTCAGGTATGACTGAATCCAGGTGTTTAAACAGGTGCCTCTCTTGCCCTGCTTTCCCGACAGTGGCTTTGCTCTCAGGCAGCCTCCTCTCATGGGGGAAGTACAGGCTCTACCAGCACCCCCCTCTCCACGGGGAGGACCCCTCTGGGTCCTGAGTCCCACGGGCCTGCCTCTCATTGGTCTGCACGTGGTCATGTGCCCACCCCCGAGCCACCCCTCTGCCTCTGCTCTGCCTGGGCCCCTGGTACCCCCTGAGGGTCAGATGGAATGAGGTGACGTGGGCTCCTCTGCTGGGGTCCAACCCCAGCAGGTCCAGGGGTCCCCAAAGGTGTGGACGGAGTTAGCGAAGAAGGAAGGACACAGAGGCAGCGTTCAGTTGATCAGCAGCCTAGCCAGGATCTCTAGCCAAGTTCTGGTCAGGATCTCCAGCCAGGTTCTGTGTCCATGTTGCCTTGCTAGGTTCTCCAGCCAGGTTCTCCAGGTTCTCCAGCCAGGTTCTGTAGCCATGTTCCCTCGCTAGGTTCTCCAGCCAGGTTCAGTCACCAGGTTCTAGTCAGGTTCTCTTGCCATGTTCTATCCAGGTTCTGTAGCCAGGTTCTGTCTCTAGGTTCTGCCTCTAGGTTCTGTTGCCAGTTTCTGTCCAGGATCTTTTGCCATGTTCTCTCGCTAGGTTCTGTCTAGTTTCTGTGTCTAGGTTCTGTGTGTAGGTTCTGTGTGTAGGTTCTGTGTGTAGGTTCTGAGTCCTGTTGTCTTGTTACATCTGTATTTATACCAGTTGATTCCAATCCTATCAATCTCTATTCCAAAGGTTAGGTCATTTCTTATCTCCATTCCAGGGAGTAAAGATTATGTAGCTTAAGCATGATTGTTCGTAGTTAAAGTGATTAATTACCCGCCTGGCACTCAGTTAAGGGGTTTTATTCCCTCCCTAACTTCAGGGGAAAATCCCTACCTGGGGAAACAACCTTTCTCAGAGACCTTGGTTAAAACACATAGTGCCAAGAAGGTGAGCAAACATATTAAGAACAGTATGCCATATATGCCAGGTCCCTTGAAACAGTAAGGATGGACCGGCTCCCGGCACTCCTCCCACACAGGACTGAGTTGTGGGGGAGGTTGAGGGAGGGGCGTGGCTGGGGCTGCAGGGGCCATTGGGCCACACCCCGCTGGCTGCAGGGACTGAGGTCCCGCCAGCTGGGCATTGCTGTTGGCAGGAAGGCAGAGCTGTAGCAGCAGGTGGTGGCCTTGTCTCCAGCCACCCGTTGCCAGGTGGGCGGCAAGCAGGTGACCCCTGGCCCGGGGAGGCCCCACGGTACCATCCTGAGTCTCCCCCGAGGCTGCTTCCTTGGGAAAGCACTGGACCCGGGTCAGCTCCGTCCTGCCCACAGGCTGCTGCCCGGGGCTCCCTCGGGTGGGGCCCGTCGAGGACACTTTGCTCAGTGCCTGAGGGAAGCCCGGGGCCGCAGCTGTCCGGGCTGCTGGCCTCCCTGAGGCCAGCTGAGCATCTGTCTTGGACCCAGGGCCAGGGCCCAGGAGGGAGGCAGCGCTGGGAAGTCCGGAGGCCGGGACTGGCCCCCTCCCTACAGCCGCCTCTTCCAAGTGGGGACCCCTCCCGGCAACACACCCGCCTGTGGCACCTGGGCGTTGGGTGAAGGAGCAAGGGTGCGGGGGTTGGGGGAGAGGGGGGAGAAGGGGAGGGGGGGTGGGGTGGGGGTCAGGGTCCCCGCGTCCTCTGTGGGCCTCGCTGCGGGGCTGGCATGGACCCGCTGGCCCTCAGGGACTCGCAGATGGCAGCTGCTGGGGCGGGCAGGCCAGGGGGTGGGGCCGAGGCAGACGCTGCCCACGGGTGGCCTGGTGTGGCCCAGAGCAGGATGAGAGGGGGACGTGGTGTCCCCACTCTTGGGGTCGCTCTCTGTGCTGCCAGCTGCTCCCCAGGGCAGAGGGTCCCCCCATTCCTGGACACAGGGCCCTGTGTTGGGACCCACCTGGGCTCCTTGGTAGGGATGCCGTCGGCTGCAGCGAGACCCGCAGACATTGCCGCTTCAGGAGCCAGTGTTGCTGCGGGCCGGCCTGGCCCTCGGGTCTTGTGATGACGGGTCTTGTGATGACGTGGTGACCGCCAGCAGGGAGCTGGGAAGAATTCGGTTTATTTCTCACTGGTCCTGGAGGGCACGCGGCTCGCCTGGGGAGGGGGAGTCAGGGGGGGAGGGGGAGTCAGGGGGAGAGGGGTGTCGGGGGGGGGGTATGGCCTCAGGTTCAGGGGTTCACTCTATTGGTTTATTTGAAAGGCGGGGAGGGAAAAGCAGGGTCACCCAGCGGGCAGCCCTCCAGGGGGCCAGGGCTGTGGGGAGGGGCCCCGGGGGGCGGCCTGGCCCGGCTGCGGTGCAGCTGGCCCGTGTCTACCGGGGACGGGGTCTAAATGGGCGCTCCTCGGTCACAGGCTTGACGCCAGGCACTGGCATTACAATCAAAGGGCGAACGGCCCCTCTGTGGGGGGACGGGAGCTGCCGCCTGTCTTAGGGAGCGGGGCCTGAGGGCAGCCTCCTAGGAAGTCCGTCTCCGGAATTGTGGGAGCCGCCCCACCAGCCACTGCTCACCCCCGAGGGCAGAGGCCGGGAGACCCACAGCCCGGAGCTGGGAGGGCCCGCGATGGAGGCGGAGGGGCCACTCTAGGTTCCAGCGGTGCCCCCACTGCTGAGCTGCTGAGCGTGTCCGGCCTGGGGCGGGGAGGGCATGGGGAGGACACGGGGAGGACACGCCTGTCCCAGCCCGGAGCGAAGAGGGTGGGCTTCCCACGTCAGGGAACCGCTGGGCCAATCTGCGGGGGAGCAACACCCCACTTAGTAAAAGTCGGACAGGGATCACCTGGAACCCGCTGGCCACCCCCTGCGCCTGCCCCTGACCCCTGCCCAGCCCCCTCGTGGGACTTGGTGAGCTTGGCACCCCTCGCCCTCCCCCGCCCCACAGCCCAGGTGTCACGTCAGAGGCTCAGCAGCATGGGTAGCCGGCCGCAGCGCCCAGCCGGACTGCTTTGCCCACGGACCTCTGCCCACCGTGTCCAGGTGCCTGGGTGGGGTGCTCTGGGTCCCCCAATTGTGGGACTCGCTTAGCAAGAGGTGCAGGCTTAGGCAGGCCCAGTCCTGGGGGGCAGAGAGGATGTTGGTGCCTTCTGTAGTTTGGGGGCCTTGGGCCTCCATGCCGCCCCCCTCCCACCCCCACTCCCCCGCCCCCACACTGGAGAACTGGGCAGGTTCCTTCCCAGCTCTGGAGGTGTGGGAAAGGGGAGCCACGGTGCTCAGCAGGTCCCCCTCCCCTGCAGCCCCAGAGTCAGCGTGCCCCTCCCGCGCCCCTTCCCGCCTCTCCTGCCGCTTTTTTCTGGCGACAGCTGCCGTGGGCAGGTGGCCCACCGTGGGTGTGGGGGGGCTGCAGCCAGCAGGGGCCCGCCCACCTCCCCTCAGGTGCCAACAGCAAGCTGCCAGCTCTGGGGCTGCGTTCCTGTCGGGGGAGGGGCATTGCTCAGCTGGTCCCCAGCAGGGACGGGGGCAGAGGGAGGGAAGGGACCCCTCCACAGGGAGGGTCTGCAGCCTGAGGCAGGGGTGGGGCTGGGGCAGGAGGTGGGCTCAGCTCTCTGCCACCCTCTCCAGCCCCCGCCCCCAGCAGTGAGCCCTGCCCGGCCCCTGGGCCACCAGGCTGAGCCCTGGCCGGGCCTCCTCACAGAGCCGCTGCCATGTGGCCAGACCTCACCGGGAGTCCTGAGGACGCGGCAAGTGGGGGGAGCCCCATGAGTAAGAATGGAAACTGCAGGGGCCGCGGGAGGCCCCGAGGAAGCAGGTGCTGGGGACCGAGACAGGAGGCGGCTCCTGGGGATGGAGGCCCCGCTCCCCGCCCGGTCCCGTGGCCAGGACTTGGGAGAAATGCGCAGGAGGGGGCGCCGCTGGGGAGCCGTGGGTGCCCCTCCGGGGAGCCGTGGGTGCCCCTCTGGGGAGCCGTGGGCGCCGCTGGTGGAGCCGTGGGTGCCCCTCCGGGGAGCCGTGGGCACCGATGGTGGAGCCGTGGGTGCCCCTCCGGGGAGCCGTGGGCACCGATGGTGGAGCCGTGGGTGCCCCTCTGGTGGAGCCGTGGGTGCCCCTCTGGGGAGCCGTGGGTGCCCCTCTGGTGGAGCCGTGGGTGCCCCTCTGGTGGAGCTGTGGGCGCCCCTCTGGGGAGCCGTGGGCGCCGCTGGTGGAGCCGTGGGTGCCCCTCTGGGGAGCCGTGGGTGCCCCTCTGGGGAGCCGTGGGCGCCGCTGGTGGAGCCGTGGGTGCCCCTCCGGAGAGCCATGGGCGCTGCTGGTGGAGCCGTGGGTGCCCCTCTGGTGGAGCCGTGGGCGCTGCTGGGGGAGCCGTGGGGACAGGCAGGTGCTCAGGCCCTCGCCAGGGGTGCAGCCCTGCTGCTCTGGACCCGCCGCCAGGGCTGGAGAGAGGTGGCCTTTCTGACCTGCTGACCCTCCCGCTGGGCAGCGTCCCATCCAGGGCGCTCGGGGGGAGCAGGCCTGAGCCCTGAGCACAGAGAGGCCAAGGCCGCCGGGGGGCCAGCCCAGGGCCCTGAGGCCCCAGCTGCCCCGGAGCCCAGGAGGAAGCACTGCCTGGGCGGTGGGGGCCTCGCTGAGACCTGTGGCTCCCCCTTTCCTGCACCCTCCCACCCTGGGCCCATTCCGGCATCTTTCCCCTCAAACCCTTCTTCCTTTTGTGTCTCCTTTCTGCACGTTCAGAGGAGGCCATCCTTCCGGCCCCCCCATCCCCCCTGCAGCCCCCCAGCCCTCCCCAACCTCCCCCTGTGCTGAGTCCTGGCTGACGCTCTTTGCCGACCACTGCTCTCTGGACCGGCGAGGACTCCGGCTCTGAGGGGTCTGGGGTTTGCCCAGCTCTGCACAGTGCCCTCTGCGGAGGCGGGTTCGAGCCAGGGCCTCGCCTCCTCTCCAGCCCCGTCTGTCTCCCTGCAGCGTGTCTGCCCAGCCCCATCCCACAGGAACCGCAGCGGCGCCGGGCCCTCCAGGTGGCTTTGAAGGGCTCCCTGCCCTGACCCTCTCGCCCGCGGGCCTCTGGGCTAGGATGGCTCTCAGCGGCCGCCTCCAGCCAGGGCTCCTCACCTGGGCCCCGGGGGACCCCTTCCCGGGGCCTGTCTACCCCACCAACCTCTGTTTTCCTGGATTGTCCTATGGGCGGTGCAGACCTGTGTGTTGGGAGCTAGCAGCCATGGCCAAAGGGACTCGCAGAGCGCCTGGGGGCCGCGCCCGGCTCAGCCCCTGCCTGGCTCAGTCTTCCAGCCGACGGACTGGAGGAGGCCGAGCTGAGGACAGGGTCTCCCCGTCTCTCCAACAGCTTGCAGGTTCTTAACTCTTGTTGGGCTTGGAAGCCTGAGGTCGCAGGCCACTGCCCTGGGACTGCGGCCCTCACAGATGCCCTGCCTGACCCCAGCGAGGACCCGCCCCTACGCCCGGGCAGCCTTGTGCCAAAGGTGGTCAATTACAGCGGCAACTGAGACTCCAGGAGGGGGTGGTGGTGACCATCTCGAGTCCCCGCTGGGCAGCGCTGTGTGGGCGCTGTCCGCGCTGAGGGCCCCACAGCTGGCTCGCTGTGAGGGGCAGGGCCCCCGGGGTCAGGGCGCCAGGCCAGCGGCAGCCGGCAGCCCGGAGTGCGTAGCTCCGGCTCCTCTCACTCAGTCGCCGCCTGTGCCACGCGGCTGCTCATGCCTTCACCGGCTCCCCTGTGGGGTGGCCCCGGGGGACCAGCACGTTGCCGGGTAGGAGGGAGATGGCTCCGCCCAGGGCGCCAGGGCCATGGCACCATCTCTTCCCTCTGGGGTGCCCCGGCCCTGCCTACCCTTGTGCTCAGGGGTGCAGCTCGTGCCCCTCAGGGCCCCCGGTGGGCGGCATCTCAGAGGGAGCAGGTGTGGCTTCATTATGAGCCCGGCGCTGGCCCGGCGCCGCCCCTCCTGCGGCCTCCGTGGTGCGGTCCAGCTCAGCAGTGGGCAAGCCGAGGCCTGCCTGGGCCGATGAATAGTCATGAGGAGTAAGGGGTGGGCGCCGTTTTGTTGTTGGATGCGGGCAGTTGACAGAACTAAGGGAGATGGAGAGAGAGAAGATGCCAACCCACAGCCCACACGCCCCGCAGCACCCCGGGCTGCTGCCCCCCTAGCCGCCAGCCGCTCCCCCGGCCGCCCCTGTGCCCGCGCCCCCGGCCGCCCAGACCCATGCCGCGCCCCGCAGCGCGCCAGCTCCCCCGCGTGTGCAGAGCCCCGCGCCCACCATGCTGTACGTCAGCGACTCGGTGCAGCAGCTCGTCACGGTAGGTGTGCCGCGGGCACCCCCAGACCTCGCGGGGACCCGTCTCCATCCTTCTCGGGGGCCTGGGGGTTTCGCCAGGGTGGAGGGCTCAGAGGGGCGCACTGGGCGGGGGCGCCATCCAGGGCAGAGGCTGGCAGGTGCTGGGCATGGAGGCGGGTGCCTGCCATCCTGGGGGTGCTCTGGGGACCCGGCCCTCTGGCTGGGCGGGGCCGCAGCCACGAGAGGAGGCGGGTGGGTGTCTGGTCAGCGCTGGGCGGCCGCCTCTTGGCGAAGGGGTTTCTGGCTTCTCGGCCTGGGGGTGGCGGCTCCATCCCAGGTTAAGGGTCCCGGAGCGGCCCTGCCCTGTCCCCAGCTGCCGGAGCTCAGCGTCCCCGGGGGTCGTCACTCTCCCCGGTGTGGGCTGGAGGCTCCCTGACCACGAGCATCCTCCCCGGAGCCTCTCACCTCACGCCAGGCAGGGCGCTTCTCGCGGGCTGGGGGCTGGCACGGTGAGGGTCAGCGGGTCAGATGCCTGCTGCCGGCCTCAGGGAGAGACGGGCGGCGGCGGGAGATCACGGGACCGAGCTCACGTGCAGGCCTGGCCGGTGCTCTGGGAGCCGGGGAGGCAGCGCTGCCGCCTGAGCAGGTGGGCCCAGCCGCTCACGCCGGCCAGCCGGAGGCAGACAGCGCGGGCCGTGGTCCCGAGGCCCCGGGCACACGGAGATCCTGGCGTAGCCTTTTCCCACGAATGAAGCGGGGTCACAGCTGAGCCAGGCGAATGCCAAGCCCGGGCTGCGTGGGGCCGGGTGGGGCCGGGCAGGGGGCGGGGGGACTGGGCTCTGGCCCTGGAGCGTGGCCTCCCGTGTGAGCCGCGGGCAAAGGAGCCGCCGGAGCCCATCCTGCCGCCATCCCCGTGTTTGGGGACCAGCAATGGCCACCGTGTCCTCCCGGGTGCCCCGGCAGCTCTGACGCCCCCCGCAGCTCTGACGCCCCGGCAGCTCTGACGCCCCCCTGCAGCTCTGACGCCCCAGCAGCTCTGATGCCTGCGGGCCTGGGCGGTGGCTGGGCTGGGTGGGGGTGGGGCCTCTCCTGTTTCCGTCCCAGAGGGAGACAGGCTGTGTGCACCTGTCCCAGGGAGGAAGTGGTGTTCCACCTCAAACTCCAAGATACTGAAGAAATAGGTTGGATTCAGAAAAATGTTGGTCACCCTGTTGTCACTGAGAGCACACGGGGTGTTTCCCCGGGGGACGGGGGGGACGGAGGGGAGAGACGGGGGGACGGGGGGGGGGTAAGGGGGCTCCTGCACAGCCACCCTGAGGGGGAGCTGCACTCGCTCCCTGTGTAGCCTCGGCAGGAGGGCCCCAGGCGGGAAAAGCCAGGAAGTATTGACTAAGCGCCTACTGCATACAAGGGCCTGCGAGGGAGGAGGGACAGGATCTGGAAGAACCCCTGCTGCAGTCTGAGAGCTGACCACAGGGGGGCAGCGCAGAGCTGGGAGCCACCGGGAGGGACGCGGCCCTGGGACCAGGTGGGAGCCCGGGTGCCCAGAGCAAAGGCGCCGGCGGAATTAGCGGAGGGTGGGTGTGAGGGTGAGGTGACCCGGTGAAGGGAGCCGACATTTGATCAGAGGGGGAGCAAGCAGAGGATGAGGAGGGAGGGGCAAGCCTTCAGGCTCAGCCATCTCGGGGACCAGGAGCAGCGGGCAGGGGCAGGAGCAGGAGGGAGGGAGACGGGTCGCAGGGGGGCGGGTGAGGGAGGGGTGTCCAAAGCTGATGACCTGCAGAGCAGGACGGGCCTGAGCAGTGCCCACCCAGACATGGGGAGGGGCCTCCAGGTGGAGGGCGGCGGGGGGAGCGGGGAGTCTGGGCCACGTTGGCCGGAGCGGCCGCTTGGACACTGGGCAGCAGGTGTCTGCCGGCAGGAGGGCTGTGGGATGGCCTGTGAGGAGTGCCAGCCCCAGTGGGCGCATGGCCAGGGCTGGGGGGCAGCATGGAGGGAGAGTGACCGAGAGGAGAGCAGCCGGCCGTGCCCCCGGGCCCCCGAAAGGAGACAAGTGGGGAAGGGACGTCACACCGGTGACGAGAGGGCCAGGCTGGGCCGCTGGAGAGGGGCTGGGCCGGGAGCGGGGGGTGTCACTGCTGAGGGGTAGGACACTGTGAGGGCAGAAAGGGGGCGGGTCTGTGGCCAGGACGGGACAGAGCCGAGCTGGAGTGACTGAGGGTGGGAGTGGGCTTCCCCTCCCCAACCTTGTGCGTGGAGCTCAGGCTCTGGGGGGCGGGGAGGGCTGCCTCTTCAGAAAGCAGCACCAGCACCGGCTTCTGAGGGCGAGGGGTCACCCCATCCACTGGCCGCTGCCCCAAAGTCCCAGCACCGACCCCACCCGGCAGCCTGGATGTCTGCTGGGACCTCCACCTCCCGTCCAGGCGAGCACCCGCCTGCCCTGGCACGTCTGGCTCAGCGAGGGAGACCCCTCTGTCTTCCCTTGGCGCTGTTCTTGACCCCCTTCCTGAACCCCACATCTGGCTCACCAGGAGCCCTCCCAGCCCCACCCGGTCCTGCGGCGGCATCTTTTCCCTCGAGGGTCACCTCGGAGCCACTGGCCGAGCGCCCCGCCTGCCCCCTCCATTGCTGGCCTCTTTGTGTTGAGGTCACAGGGATAAAGGGGGGGCGTGGGGGCTGCGTCTCCAGCCCCTGGGAGGGCCCGGGAGGGGCTTGCTGAAGGGCAGAGCGCCCTCACCTGCCTGTCACCCCAGAGCCCTGAATTGGGGAGCAAACGACCGAAGCGGGGACCCCACTCTCACCACCTGCAGAGCTCTCCCAGCCCTGCCCTCCCTCCTCCACCTGCAGTCCCCTCCTCCAGACCCCCGGCCCCCAGATCTCTGAGCTGCTGTGAACTCCCCCCTGCAGAGGCAATCGACCCCCACCTCACCCTCCCGCGCCCTTCACCCTCATCACCATCGAAGGCTCCTCCAGGGCCCACTCTCTCTGCCCCCAGCGAAGAGGGCACCGCCAGGCCACCGGCCCCCGTGTCCTGACTCACCTCTGCCAGATGGACAGACGGATGGACAGAGGGACGGGTGGGTGGAGGACGTCAGGGTGACTCCTGGGGCAGCTCTGGGGCAGCAGGCAGGGGTGGGAAGGCTGGGGCTCCGGAGCCGTGCTCACGGAGGAGGGGGAGCAGCCCCACACCCGCCGTCCCCCGTGAGCCTCCCTCGCCCATGCGATCACAGAGCGCCCACCTTCATCCCAGCCCCCGGCGCCCCGAGAGGCAGGGCAGGCCCAGGCCCATTTCCTGGTGTTAGATAAGATCCATGGTGCCCAGCGGCGTGGCTCAGGGGCTGAGTGTCGACCTAGGAACCAGGAGGTCAGGGTTCGATTCCTGGTCAGGGCACATGCCTGGGTTGCGGGCTTGATCCCCAGTGCGGGGTGTGCAGGAGGCAGCCGGTCCATGATTCTCTCTCATCATGGATGTTTCTCTCTCTCTCTCTCTCTCTCTCTCTCTCTCTCTCTCTCTCTCTCTCTCTCCTTCTCCCTTCCTCTCTGAAATCAATTAACATAAATGCACCCCGTGGGCCTCTTGCCTATTTGTGAGCAGCTCTGAGGAGCCTGGGGGGGGGCACCCCAGAGACGCCACCGGCCTGGATACCCGTCCTCACTGTCCCAGCGGCGCTGTCTGCAGGTGGGGGCAGGCAGAGCGCCCTGGCTCAGCCTCGCTCCTGCAGACACACGCCTGGGGGGCCGGGGCCTCCGGCACACATTCGGGGTGCGAGGGGTGGAAAGTTCCACACGCGCTAGCATGGGCCGGGCGGCTCGCCTCAGCCCGGTGAGAGCGGAGGGTGCGCGGCTTTCGGGGGAGGGAGCCGGTGCGGCACAGGCCGGGTCTTGTCAGCATTTCCATCCGTTTAATCACAGACGCAGCGATGCCGTGGGAAGTACTGGGACGGAGGTCCTGCTCCGAGGGCCGGGTTAGCGGAGCCGCAGCCAGACGGCAGCCAGGCACTCGCAGGGGGCGGGGGGGGGGGGGCCGCGGCCAAAGCCCGGGCACGCCTGCACCGGCTCGGGAGCGGGAAGTTTCCTTCTCCCTTAAAGGTCTGGTCGTTAAAGGTCTGGCCGCAGTGCTCTCCCGGGAGCATGGGGTGCGGGGGTCAGAGCGGACACTGAGGGGCGCCCTGGCTGACCTCCCCACGATGCTCCAGGCAGAGCGCTCGGGACTGGAGCCGGCGCCCGCCCTGCGCCATGCGGCGGCCATAGGGCGATCCGCCAGACGGGGCGCCCCCAGAGCTCTGACCGTCCCCAGTCTCCTTGGTCGGTCTCTGGAAGGAGGGCGGGCTCTGACGCCCAGACTGGCAGCCACTGCCCTTCTGGGCGCTCGGGGATCCCTGCCTGGTCCTCCGGACCTGGCTGAGGTGACAGTGACGGGAGCCTGGCAGGAGCCCAGGCGGCTCCCGCCTCCGACATCAGGGTTAGTGTGACGCCTGGGAGGAGCTCCCCGCCCCCCGCCCCCCATGGACGCTGCTCCCCTCCCCTCTGGGGGGTGGGATTCTAGAATTCCGTCTGGTCCCTGTCCCTGCTCACGCTGCTGTTCCAGTGGCTTTGCCACTTCTGTTCCTCACTGAGTCCCTTCTGTCCTTCCCGGTGTGCAGGGCCGGCACACCCTGACCCACCAGAGCACCCTGTGCCCGCTCACACAGCCCTGCCGCAGCCAAGCTGCCAGCAGAGGTCAGAGGTCAAGGTCCTTGTGCGGTCAGAGCTCAGGGCCGCCCGGGCCTGGCCGGGCCTCCAGGGAACAGCGGAAACTCGAAGAGCGTGAAGCGTGAAGCGATGCAAACGAGCGCGGGCCTTTCCCGGCGCATCAAAAGGCAACCGGAACCCGTTTCCTCGACCGCTGCCCCCCCTCCCCAGGCTGTGCCCACGGGGCCTGCACACAGGCTCTGCGCCCCAGCTGGCCCGGCCTCAGCTGTGGGTGATTCTGGGCATGGCCCCCAGGGGCTGTGTCACAAGGGCCACTGCTCCACGCAGAGGAGTGGAGAGCAAGCCTGGGAGCACGGGGCGGTGGAGAAAGCCTGGGGGCTTCCAGGAGGCGGTGAGGAGGGGAACAGTATGAGCCAAGACCCGGGTGCAGACGGAGTGCCCAGGGCGGCTGGGAATGGGGCTTCCTGGGGGGCAGTGCTCACTGCCCAGAGGTGCAGGACTCCGCTTCCCATGTGTGTGTGGTGTCCCGGCGCCAGCCTCCCGGCCACTCTGCTTTCTCTGTCAAGTCCAGTGCCCGGCCTGGGAGTCAGCGGGAGCCGCCTCTGGGACCTGCGCTGATGTGCCTAGGCCATCTGGGCCTGTGGTCACACACGGCCCCTCTGGAGACCCCCAGGGCCCATCGGAGCGGCTCCCTGGGAGTGTGACCCAGAATGACTTGACTCTGCTGGCAGCGTGGCCTGCTTGGGCCCCTAGAAGAATGGTGCCACTCCCAGGCACCGCGGTGGCACCGAAACCCACATCCATTTCGCAGTCAGGACGTCCCGGGGGAGCTGCCGCGGTGGCGTGGATGCTGGGAAGCGGGCCTTCAGGAGGGCCTCGGGGCACAGGTGCTAAAAAATTCACTTTCCAGCTCCATCCCCCGAGTCATGTGAGCCGATCTGCACACTCTCCATAGAGAAGCGTGTGTGGGGTCATTACAGATGCAGCTCCCGGGAGGACCGGCTGGGAGGGAGGGCGCCTGGCAGGGCAGCAGCGGGTGCAGATTGCGCCTCACCCGCACAGGCAGGTGGCCTGGCCCCGGGCGCCCAGAGCAGGAGTGGGCGTGGTGGGTCTGCACAGTTTGGGGTCTGTCTGAGTTTGGGGTCTGTTTCATTCCCCCCGAGTTTCTGAGCATCCAGCGGGGTGCTAGGTGCAACAGGACAGGTGGGAAGTGACCTCACTCACCCTTCCCCGTGCCTGGAGCTCAGGGACTGTCCCCTGAGTGAGGGACTGGGGGCGGGGTCTCCCACCTGCTCCTGGGTGTGCAGGCCCAGCCCCAGTTCCCTCATCTGCAGCCTCAGCCATCGGGCTTTTGTGAGAGGTGGGCTCTCTGGGTCGCTGGGTCGGGGAGACCCTAGGCGGGGGGCACAGCTGCAGGGCTGGGAGGGGTGGGAGCTGGGATGGGCCTCGCCCCCTCCCCCTGCTCCTGGGACAGCACCCTCAGTCCCTGGGGCTGGAGTCCTTGGCAGAGGCCAGCCCCCTCCCTGGAGACGGGGGAGGGGTGGAGGGGTATGAGGGGGGCGGGGGAGAGGGGAGGGGGAGGGGCACTGCCCAGACACATGGGTGCAGGGAGCAGCCTCGGCTCACCCTCTCCACGCAGCAGGCCCCCCCCCCCTTCCGGACCGTTGGCCGAAGCCGGATCTAAGCCCAGCCCCGTCCGTGTGGCTCTGCCCTGGGTGAGCACCTGGTGCCCGTGGCCCCTGGAGGCGGCTGTGAGCACCAGGCTGCAGGGCGAATGGGACGGCCTGGAGGGGCCCGGGTCCTGGTGGAGGCGGCTCTGGGGCATCGGCTGCTCCACAGGAGGCAGCGAGGACCTGACCGGCCCGGCCCCTCCTGGGCCTCAGGCAGGCCTGGTGCTGGCCCCTCCGGGTCCCTGCGGGGAGGCCACCCCGGCTTCGCCCGCTCCTCTCCTCGCGGCCCTCCTGGGCCGGGCCCAGCAGCCTGGCAGCACATGCAGGCACATGTGGGCGCCGCGGGCCGGGCCTGTCCCAATCAGCCCACTCTCCCGAGTGGAGTTCTCGCTGCAAACACAACAAACCAAGAAAGTCCTGGGTTCGCCCAGGTCCCTGCCTGCAGCCAAGTGGGTCTCACCAAGCTGTGGGGTTCCTGGCTCTGCAGGGACCCCGCCCCCGCCTGAGGCTCTCCGCCTGGGGTCCCGCCCAGCCCCCCAGCTGCGAGGAAGGGGATGCAGGGGCCCCCTGTGGGCGGGCAGCCATGCGTAACCACACCTCCCCATGGGGGGGCCACGCAGAGCCCAGCCATACGGCAAACAGGACGGAAACCTGTGCCACCTCAGCATGTGGGCAGAGGCCACCCTGGGGAAGCAGGGCCACAGGGGGCAGTGCCCTCGGACGGAGCGCAGCCGGACGCGTGGTCTGTTCCCTGGGGAGGAGGGCCCACTGCCCCGGCACCAGGGCCCAAGGTGCTGCTGAGCCTGCCCTGTCCACGGGCCAGGGGGCGGGGGCTGGGGCCGGGTGGGGGGGGCTGCAGAGGAGGCCGGAGGGGACCCGGGGCTGCGGTGCGAGGGTGCTCGCTCGCCTGCCTGCCTGCGACTCCCGCTGCAGGGCTGCCGGGCGCAGAGATCCTATCAGCCGTCAGGCTCAGTGACTAAGGCCCTGGCACAGCGGCTGGTGAAGAATGTGGACAAGTTAAAATCTGAACAGGGCTGTTGTGGGGCGGCCTCCGTCTCCTGAACAGGCGGCCGGGGCGGGCGCCAGGCCTGGAGCCCCCCTGGGCGTCCCACTTGGGGACACGGGGACACGGGGACTCGTCTGAGGCTGCAGCTCTCACACAGCCCAGAGCACCCCCGCTGGGCCTCCCGGTCACCTGGAGAGAGGGGAGCATGGGGACGTGGGGGGCCGGGGCAGGAGGGGGCCCCTGCCCTCCCCACCCAGGACCCAACAGGCTCTCAGCCTCGTGCCAGAGGAAGGGGCCAGCTCACACCTGGTCCTCAGTCCTGGTCATTCCTACCTATAGGGCCTGTCCCATCTTCAGCCTCCCTCCCTCCTCCTTCCTTCCTTCTTCCTTCCTTCCTTCCTTCCTTCCCTCCTTCCTTCCTTCCTTCCTTCCTTCCTTCCTTCCTTCCTTCCTTCCCTCCTTCCTTCCCTCCTTCCCTCCTTCCTTCCTTCCTTCCTTCCTTCCTTCCTTCCTTCCTTCCTTCTTTCCTTCCTTCCTTCCCTTCTTCCTTCCCTCCTTCCTTCCCTCCTTCCCTTCCTTCCCTTCCTTCCTTCCCTCCTTCCTTCCCTCCTTCCTTCCCTCCTTCCCTTCCTTCCCTTCCTTCCCTTCCTTCCCTTCCTTCCCTTCCTTCCTTCCTTCCCTCCCTCCCTCCCTCCCTCCCTCCCCTTCCTTCCTTCCTTCCTTCCTTCCTTCCTTCCTTCCTTCCTTCCCTCCTTCCTTCCCTCCTTTCCTTCCTTCCCTTTCTTCTTTCCTTCCTTCCTTCCTTCCTTCCTTCCTTCCTTCCTTCCTTCCTTCCTTCCTTCCTTCCCTCCTTCCTTCCCTCCTTCCCTTCCTTCCTTCCTTCCTTCCTTCCTTCCCTCACCTGCTAGCCCCTGTCCAGCCCACCTCTGGAGTGAGAGCTTTGCAATGAGAAACGCACTACACCCCGCGCAGAGGGTGCTGGGAGCAGGAACAGGATGAGAGCTTCCCGTCCCCGTGTCCCTGTGTCCCCGTGTCCCCGTGTCCCCGTGTCCCCGTGTCCCCCGCAGCCACATCAGAAGGGAGGAAGCGCAGGGGAAACCGTGTAGTTCATTACCCGCCGTGCTGGTCCCAGAGTGTCCTCAACATGACACGGAGGAGGGGAGTTGCTCACGTCCTTTCGTGGCCCCGAGGCCTGGGCCCCGGGTGCCCTCACGCCCACGGCACGGCTCGCATCACCCCGGCCCCGCTGAGCGTGCCCGTGTGGCCGTGGCTGCGGGTGGGCCGTCCCAGCCTGGGTGGCTCGGTGAGTGTCTGTCCCTGCGGGGCCCGCAGCCCAGGGCGGACAGAAACCTCGGGCTCACAGAGCCCCGCCCTCCCACTCGGGGGCCCAGCTGCGTCTTCGGGGGGCGCCGTGGTCCCCCTCGCGGCAGCCGGGCCGGGAGAGCAGGGCGGGCCTCCACCCCGCGTTCCGTGGCTGCGTTGAGCTGCGGTTCACGCGACACGCAGTTGGCCTATTTCAACTCGTGCTTTTAGTGTGTCCACGGGTCTGGGTACCCAGCCCGCAGCGAGTTTCAGGGTGTTCCAGCGCCCCCAAGGGAGACCACGCCTCTCAGCCATCAGCCCCCCCCCCCGCCCCCCGCAGCCAGAGGCGCCCCCGCCCCCGCCCCTGGGACCGCGGGGCACCTGAGCGAAGGAGCTGCCCTTCCTGGCGGCTCGGCGCTGCCTCCCGGCTCAGCACGTGGCGCTCAGTCGTCTGTTTTCCTGGAGGAGAAAGAAGGCTCCTCTGAACGCCCGCCCGCCCGCCCGTAGCTTGTTCGCCACTTGCCTGCCGGCGGGTGTGGGCTCCGTGGTTTACAAGTGAAGGGGGGGGGGCTGTCAGCCAAGGTGGGAGGCGGGTCCTGCAGGAGTCCCCCATCCCGCTGGGGTGGGTCCCCCCGCTCAAGATCCACCTGGGAGCTGGGTCAGGAGGAAGGCAGCGGCCTGGCCTCGGGGCGCCCCTGCCTCCTGTGCCCCTCACTCTGTCATCACCTGAGTCCCCGTCAGAGGCTTCAGGGCAGCATCTTCCCGGCAGGAGGGGCCGGGGCTGCAAGGGCCTCGTCCTGGGCACCCGGGGGTGGGGGGGGGTGCCCTCGGCGGTCGGAGTAGGGGGTCAGGTCATGCAGCCCCATCCCCCTGGGGGCAGAGAGAGCCGGGGTGCAGCGAGGGCTGAGCCTGGGCATGCGTGTGTTTTTGCACTTGGAGGAGGCAGGGAGACCCTGACAAAAGCCCCCACAATTCCCCGTCCCCACTGACCCCCGAGGTCTGGCTCCACCCCCCATGGACGTCTGGCTGGTCTCCCGTGCCACCCACCAGGGCCACTCTATCGCCCACACGTCACCGACACTGGTGCCTCAGTTTCCTCATTTGTAAAACGCAGACACTAACAGCGCCCGCCTCGGGCCTGTGGGGAGGGCCCAAGCGGACCTGGGAGCCGACCAGGCGCAGGCGGGGCGGTGGCAGCGTTGGAGGCCACCTGCCCAGCCCGCTGGTCCCGCACCGCCTGCTCGGAGCCTCCTGGTGGGGGAGGGCCTTCCCTGCCGGCCACCAGGGGGATCGGATCGGCCCTGGACTTGAGGCACCGTGCCGTGGGCAGTGCCCCCTCCCTCGCCCTTAAGCTCCTGGTGGGGGCTGCCCCGTCCCTGGTCCCTGGACCCCACAGAGGGTGGCCCAGGGCCACACCCACAGGAGCTCAGAGCCTGTTCCCCGCTGTGTAGCCTGGGGAGGAGCCGGCCCGAGTGCGGGTGGGCAGAGGGTGTGCCCATGGGGAACTGCCAGCAGGAGACACGGCTGGGGGGGGGGCGGGGGGGGCGGGTGTCCCCGAAGGAGGCAGCCCAGCTCTCAGGGCCCTGGGAGAGGCTTTGGCTCAGCCTCTGGCCTTCAGTCCCCACCCCAGCCCCACCTCCTGCATGGCGGACCCAGGGGGCAAACCTGTTCCCCAGCGCCTCCTAGGCACCCCCCGCCCCAGAGCCTGGGGTGTGTCTACCCTGTAGGATGGGGGCCCCGACGGCCTGGTTCCGGGGCGCTGGGGTCTCCCATGTGAGCTGTGACAGGGGGACAGAAGGGAGGACAGCAGGGCTGGTGCCGGGGCTGGGCCACCCCCCAGGCAGCTGCCTCCAGGTGCGCGGGGAGCCCAGGGGCCTGGCACCGGAGCGGATGGAGGGGAGGGTGAGGTGAATATGTCAGTTTATCCCCACACAAGTAGTGACCTGTCGGGGGCGGGGGGGACCGGAGAAATATTTGAGATGACGGAGCGGCTGGCCCTTTAAGGCTGCTGTAACAGGACACCTCCCAGACGGGACGGGCGCGCTCTCCAGCCTGACGGTGGGCCCCCTCCCTCCTCCGCTTCCCGCCAGGCCCAGTTCAATCTGATGAGCAGCACCATGGACCAGATGAGCGGCCGCGCAGCCCCGGCCAGCCCCTACCCTGCCGAGCACGCGGCCAGCGTGCCCACCCACTCCCCGTACGCGCAGCCCAGCTCCACCTTCGACACCATGTCGCCCGCGCCCGTCATCCCCTCCAACGCCGACTACCCCGGCCCCCACCACTTCGACGTCACCTTCCAGCAGTCCAGCACCGCCAAGTCCGCCACCTGGACCGTGAGTGCCCCGCCCCCAGCGGGCATCGGGGGGCGCGGGCGGTGGGAGACACGTCCTGGGCGCGAGGGAGGTCGAGCGGGGTGCCGGCGGTCCGGCTGTCCACACAGGTTCCCGCCTGGCCCGGGCCGCCCCACGGGAGGAGCATCGGCGGGAGGCGTGTCTCGGGGCTGGGCAGTGTGGGTGTGCCCACTCCTCGGACGTGAGGCCAGAGCCGGCCAGCCTCCCGAGGGCGGGGGGAGGGGGCATGGATGTGGCTCCCGGGGAGGTCCATGGGGCGGAGGCTGACCGCCCTCGCCGAGGCTGTCGAGGCTGTCGGGCCGGCATTCCTGTGCTGAGGTGGGGGCTCTGGTTTGCACCTGTCCGGGGTGGGCAGGGGGCATGCGGCTCTGCTGCCGGGAGCCACCTGGGCCGGTGCATGGAGGCTCCTCCTCCGGGCAGTGGGAGGTCGGCACCGGGGAGCTGGTCGTTGGCGGATGTGGGCTTTGCCCAGCGCGTGGCCTCCGGGCTGTCATCTCCACGCATCGCCGTGAGGCAGGGACATCAGGAGAACCCGCTGCCGCGGACTCCAGGTCTGACCGGGGGGAGTGAGCCAGAGTGCATACCGTCCCGCGCACCTGACCCCGTGGCTGGGCCCTGGCTGAGCGCCTGAGTTTCCATGAACTCATGAAACCACTCAGCAACCCACAAGGTAGAATCTGCCATTGTCCTGTTTTACAGCCAGGGAAACTGAGTCACGGGGAGGGAAGACGCCTTCCCTGGAGTGTTCAGATGGTAGGTGGGGTGCCGGCCTGGGGAGCCAGGGACTGGGCTCAGCCCTGAGTTCCTCACTACATTGCGGCCGAGACAGGAGGGGCTGCCTGCCAACAGGGATGCCAAGCCCCCAGGCAGACCTCAGGCCCCCCTCCGAGGGCAGGGCACACAGGGCATCGGGGGAGGGGGGAGGCAGCCGGAAGGCCCTCTGGGTCTCCTGTCCACCCCCCAAAAGGGGGAGAGTGAGTCGGGCCCTGGCACCCATTCCGGGGACACCTGGCAGCGCCACCTCCTCCAGGGAGTAGGCCGTGCTTACACCACCTGGAAACGGGACCCGATCAGGAGGTCTATGCGGGGTGTCTGTCCTGCCCCCCAGGAGCAGTGAGCAGGTGACCCCATGCTCTACCACTTTAAGAACCCACTGCCCTGAGGGGGAGGCTGTGGTTTTCCCACGCTCCCCGGGGGTGGGGAGACGATGCCGGTGGGGCGGGGCCACAGGGACCCTGGGTCAGGCTCTGCGGGGCCAGTCCCGGGTCTGGTCCCCCTGCCGCTGTTTCTGGCCCCTGCTCGGGCTGTGGCCTCCCCCGGGGGCCAGCCCCTCACTGAGCTCAGGCTCAGGCCGACGCCAGGGCCGCCGTGGGCTGGGAGGGCAGGGCCCGCTGCGCCCGGCTCCTCGCCTGTAGGTTGTCTCTCCCACGCTCCTTGCAGAGAGGGCGACGAGGCTCAAAGGGAGCCCGGGCCGCCCAGCGCGGGGCTCGGGGCAGGCACAGCTGGGTGCATCCTCCCGCTTGCACGCCTCTGGCAACAAGAGGTTCACTCCCCTCCGGTTCCGAGGTCACCCCTGTTCCCTGAGCCCTTCTCTCCCCTGGGAGGGGCAGCGTCCCGGTCCCGCCCGCACTCATTCTGCCATCAGGGCCTGAGCAACTGGTCCCTGGGGTCCCGGCAGGAACGGGGCGGCGGGTGGCGGGGGGCTCTGGCTCCCTGCCTGTCCGCTGTCTGAGGATGCGGGAGGGTGTCTCCTATGTGTGCGGCTTGAAGGGCCGCGAGGTCTGTGCTGGCCCCAGGGGGACAGGCGCTGCCCGTCTGTTGGCTGCCTCCCCATCTGGCCTCTGCCACCCTCCTGGGTGCCGCCACCGCCGCTGCCAGCGGAGTGGCCCCCGGAGGGCACGGCTTGGTCATAGTTCTCTCGGCAGTAAGTGTCCTCAGGGGTGGTCCGCCCAGAATGGAGGCAGCCCCGCCAGCCACAGCAGGGGCAGGCAAGGCAACCTGTGCCCACTGCTCTACCTCCGCGCGACAGCCCCTGTCCCCCGTCCCCGTCCCCTGTCCCCCGACTCCCACGCAAGGATGTCACCCCATCCCTCCTGCTGGGCTCGAGGCTCCGCTCTCGCAGCTGAGCTGCTGCTGCTGCCGGGCCCAGGCGCTCCGCCCCCCACCCCCCGGCCTCAGGGGTGCAGGGGCTGTGGGGGGACAAACATTGGTAATGAGATTTTTGGCACCTCGGCCCTCAGGGAGCAGACCCCCCACGGCTCCCTCGCTGGCCCGGGGAGGGGTGGGCAGGCCCACGCACAGTTCAGGGCCGCCAGGCTGGCCGCCTGCTCACAGCTCTGGGGGCTCGCTGAGCGGGCGCTGCCCGGACTTGCTGCCTGGGCCCCGCGCCACGCCGGCCGGCTGGTAACTGATAGATAACTCATATTTTTCTCAAGTGCCATTCCGATTGACTGCTGCCTTCACTCCTCTTCCTGCGCAGGAAACACACCCTCGCCGCCCCAGGGGGCCACAGCTGTGAACCGGGCCTTTGGCCTCTGCCTGGCCCCGGGGGCCGCGGGTCGTCTGCTCTGAGACTTTATGTCTCACGCCTGTTCCTTAGGCACCAGGGGTCTGGAGCCCGCAGCTCACAGGCATGTGCGTGTGTGCACAAATACAAACAATGCACACGCGTGCACACACGCAAACACCACTCAGGTGCACGCACGTGCAGGCACCGTGCATACATGCAGATGGACACATGCACACATGCGCAGGCCTCTCCCGGTCGCTGCCCAGGGTTCTGACAAGCCCACCCTCCGCCAAAGGCCGGAAGGAGGTGGTTTCAGGCAACAGCAGCTGGAGAAGGGACTTGTGCTAACAGGGACCAGGGCCAGGGCCAGGGCAGGGCCAGGTGGGAGTTAGGCCGTGGAGGGGGCTGCTCAGTGCGGGGGGAGCACCTGCTCTGAGCTGTTCTGGCTGAGGCTTGTCTGTTTCGGGTGCATCGGGGCTGAGGGGTCTTGGACCGGGGGAGGGTGGAGCCAGGTGTCTGTCCCCATTCCACACCCTCCGTCGGACTCCCCACGGGTTGGCCGTGATGGGGACAGAGGCGACAGGAGTCACAGGAGCAGAGGGAGGAGCAGCCGTGGGGGGAGGTGTCTGGACGCCGCCCAGCCCTGCTCACCTCTGCCTGCTCCCCGCTGAGCTGATGCTGAGATGCAGGGGGGGGGCTCTGAGGGCAGGCGGAAGCCTGGGTGAGGGTGGAGGCCCCGCCCAGCCTTGGGCCACCTCCGGGCGGCGAGGGGTCCTGTCTACAGTCTGCAGGGCAGGCAGCCGGGGGCACAGCGGTGAGGTTTTGCACAGTGTGGCCCCTTGCGGGGGGGAGCCTGGAGCAGCCCTCACGTGACCTCCAGCTACCCCAGACCTGGCGCACTTGTGTGTGTGTGAGAGTGTGCATGCGTGTGAGTGTGCGTGTGTGCGTGCATGTGAGTGTGCAGTGCGTGTGTGCGCACGTGTGTGTGTGTGTGTGTGTGTGTGTGTGTGTGTCCATCCTGGGGGCAGCACCGCACTCCCAGCCCAGGAGGAGCGTGTGGAAGGCGGCGGGAAGCTGAGGCTGCGGGACTCCGGGGTGGAAGGCGGCTGAGTCAATGCTGCTGGATTCGGGAGAACACGTTCCAGCCGCTGGGAGGTTTGCAGGCGGGAAGCAAGCGCGGAGGTGTCCCAACACGACGCGCCCCAGTGCGTTACCCTGGCGTATGGAATGCGCCCGTGGAATTAATCCCTCCTGGCACCAGCGGCAGTTATGCGCACTTGAAGCCAAGGGAAGCGTCCGTTCATGTGGAGACGAACGTGGGTCATTAGGGGAACGAGAGCTCTCGCTGTGGGCGCGGGCTCCCTGCAGGCGGCCCTGGCGGGGATAGGACCCGGCTTGGGGCCTGTGTTGGGGTCACCCCGCCTCTCGGGCAGCTGGGGAGCCCCTGGGCCTGGGGGTCACAGAACTTACAGCCTCCTGCACCCCCTGGTTTTGGCAGGGGACACGCGGGACAGCCCTGGGAAGCAGGCGTCAGCCCCATAGTTTGGGGCTGTGGGTGGGACATGGCACAACGGAGGTCTGATGGAAAAACATCTATTTGCTGGGTCTTTTTGTTGTTGCTGTTGAACCCAAAGATATTTTCCCATTGATTTTCAGGGAGAGTGGGAGAGAGGGAAGGACAGAGAAACATCGATGTGAGAGACACATCGATGGGTTGCCTCCTGCACGAGCCCTGACCAGGGCAGTGGCCGGGGAGGAGCCTGCAACCAAGGTCCATGCTCTTGACGGGAATCGAACCCGGGACCCTTTGGTCTGCAGGCCGACGCTCTATCCACTGACCCACACCGGCTAGGGCTACAGGGTCTTGTTTCCCAAGAGCCCCCACGTCACAGGTCCGTGCCACAGGGATGAGGACACTGATGCTCAAAGGTCAGGTCCCTGCTCACAGTCACCTGTCAGCGAAGGCAGGGCCACCCCCGGCCCATCAGCACCTGGCTCAGCAGCCAGGCCCTCTGCCAGGGCCCCCTATTTAGAACCCGGAACTCTGCTGGCCCCAGGGCTCCCGGGACCCTGATGAGGTTCAGCGAAAACCTCGGCTGCCTCCACCTGGAATGAAAAGCTGAAAGGACCGCGCAGGTCCGGGGCGTGCGGGTCCCCAGGCTCACAGAGACCCCGGGCCTCCCCTGCTGGCCGGGAGTGGGGCTCATCTACTGCTTCCGCAGAGGGGGCCCTGAACTAAGGACTGCCCTGCAGCTTCCGGGGCAGGAGGGGCGGCGGTGGGAGGGCCCTGAGCATTGGCCACGGCATCGCCATGGCCCGGCCCCCTCCCTCCTCTCCCACAGGCACCTGCCCTGGGCCAGCGCCAGCCCCGGAGCTGCAGGACATGGGAGGGAGCTGGCCCTGTGGTGCCCGCGGGCACCAGGCCCAGCAGCAATCAGAATGGCGCGCCGCAGCCAGAGGCTCCGAGCCTGTCCTGCAGGCAGAGGTGCCCGCCGACCCCAGCACCTGCCCAGGTGGGCCGACCCTCCCAATCCCCAGGGCAGACGAGGCCAGGCCAGCCAGGGAGCATGCGCGAGGTGGGAATGAGGGCCGGGTGGCAGGGGAGGGCCCAGTCTGCGGCGGGCAGAGCCACTGGCCACCAGCCTCCACCCCTCCGCACCCAGGGAAGCTCTGGGGCCTGGCCCACAGCCCCCACCGGGTCCCTGCCAGGGCGTTTGCCCACGAGGCCCATGGCGGGGAGGGCGGGCACCTGCCTGCCTGCCAGGGCAGCTCTGTGGGCGCTCAGCTGGCGGTCAGAAGGCAGTCTGTGGGCAGGGTGACCCCTCTTTGGACCTGGCTGAGCCTGCGGGACACGGCCACCATGTGTGCCCGTGCAGTGGGAGCTCTGGGCTTCCTGCAAGCCCAGCCCTGTCCCTGAGGCCTCAGGACACACCCTGCTCACCCTCGGTCCCCCTCGGGGCCCAGAGGAAGCCAGAGGAGGTGCCTGGCCTACAGGCTAAGGCCATAGTCGGCAAACTGCGGCTCGCAAGCCACATGCGGTTCTTTGGCCCCTTGAGTGTGGCTCTTCCACAAAATACCACGTGCGGGCGCGCACGTACAGTTCGATTAAAACTTCGTGGCCCATGCGCAGAAATCTCGTGAGCCGCAGTTTGCCGACCACTGGGCTAAGGACAGACGGAGGCCCAGACCTGCGGCCACCACAGCCCCTCCCCCGCCCTGGGCCAGGCCATCTCCTGCTGCCCCGGCTTCTGACGTGGCCTCTGACCTGCTGGTGCCGTGGCCTCTCTCCTGGGTCAGCTCAGTGTCCACCTGCTGCCCCCCCCACCCCCAGACCTTAGCCCAGCACTGAGCATCCCAGGCGTCGCTGCTGGCTGAGCCCAGCGGGATGAGCAGGCCTGAGGGTCCCTGAGGCGGGGGATCTGGGCGGGGTGGGGGGGAGGATTTGGGGTCAGGCTGCCAGGCTCCCTCTCCCCAATGGGCAGCTCCTGCCCCTGCCTCTGTGGACTCCCCTGGACAGGGCCCTGCTCACTCAGCGCCTGTGTGTTTCTGTGTCCCACTGACCCTCCTCTGGGCTCTGGTGAGGGGACCTGGCTGTCAGCCTGCGTGGGGGTGTGTCAGCATGTCCCCTCCCAGCCCCGTCCTGGGGATCACAGCAGCCTCTGTGAGCTGGCATGTCCGGGGCCAGGCCTGGCTCTACAGGTGATGGGGGTCCCTGCAGGCCCCAGCCACCGGCCCCGGTCACTTTGGGCGCTGCCTGTAGGCTGTCTTGTGCGTGCTCTGAAGCAGGCTGGGTGGTTGTCTCAAGTGGCCCTGCCTCCTCTCAAGGCTGGTGGCTTCCCTGTGACCTTGTCCCAGCTCCTGGCCCCTGTCAGAGCCCAACCTGCACTCCCGCTGAGCGAGACAGAGCTGGGCAGTGAGGCTGGGAGTGAGGCTGGGAGTGAGGCTGGGTGTGAGGCTGGGAGTGAGGCTGAGAGTGAGGCTGAGAGTGAGGCTGGGAGTGAGGCTGGGCAGTGAGGCGGGGAGTGAGGCTGGGAGTGAGGCTGGGCAGTGAGGCTGGGAGTGAGGTGGGGAGTGAGCCTGGGCAGTGAAGCTGGGAGTGAGGCTGGGAGTGAGGCTGGGAGTGAGGCTGGCAGTGAGGCTGGCAGTGAGGCTGGGAGTGAGGCTGGAGTGAGGCTGGCAGTGAGGCTGGCAGTGAGGCTGGGAGTGAGGCTGGCAGTGAGGCTGGGAGTGAGGCTGGGCAGTGAGCTGGGAGTGAGGCTGAGAGTGAGGCTGGCAGTGAGGCTGGGAGTGAGGCTGGGAGTGAGCTGGGCAGTGAGGCGGGGAGTGAGGCTGGGAGTGAGCTGGGCAGTGAGGCTGAGAGTGAGGCTGGGCAGTGAGGCTGGGAGTGAGGCTGGGAGTGAGCTGGGCAGTGAGGCTGGGAGTGAGCTGGGCAGTGAGCCGGGAAGTGCCGGGTGACAGGCCCCATGAGGGGCTGGAGCGAGTGTCCTTGGCTTATGTCACCTTGGAGAGCCCTCCCCACCAGGAAGGAGAGACGGGTCCCTGACCCCGGTGTGGGTTTGGGTGCTGGTGGCCTGGGCTCCCTGTGGACCGTGTGCTGCAGCCGTGGGGCGTCCCAGGGTGAGAGGGTCTGGGCCCTGGGAAGGGGGGTCCTCAAAGGGGCCTCAGCTCCAGAGTGGAGAGAAGCGTGGCTCTGAACACGGGCGCACACGCGCACAGAAAGCAGATAAAAGTGGGTCCTAAAAAACATTAAAAAAACAGCCCCCCCACCCCCCCCACCCCCCGCAGCCCGGTCTTCCAGAATCTGTTGTAACAGATTCGCCCGAGCTGGTTAACGGTATTTGCGGTTTGCAAGATGCTGCATGTCCCTGGGAAATGACAGACAAGTTATTATCACCTCCCCACTCGCCTCCTGCCCGAGCCTGCCCACGGCGGGCGCTGGGCACCCCGCTACTGAGGAGTGGGCGCCAGGAATTAACAGCTCCATGCCTCGCCCGCCACCCACCACCGCCGCCTTCTGCCCAGGCCCCGTCAGCCCTGCCGGACCGACCTCAGCTCCCAGCCAGGCCGGCCCCTGGAGGACTGGGCGTCGGGGAGAGGGGTGGGGTCGGAGGAGGGAAAGGGGGGCGCGGAGAGGGCAGGGTGGGCATACCCCAGCGTGTGGGCACAGCATTTCCTGCCAGCGTGGGGGATGCGCGCCCCACAGCAGGCAAGTCTGGGCGGCTCCGTGTCAACAGCCGAAGATAAATAAGATTTTATCGGCTCCGAATCTGTTGAAACACATCATCTAGCGGTTCCGGGGAAGGAGCGGCGGGAGGGCGGGCGGGGAGGGCGTGTCTCCACGGGACCTTTCCCACAGGCCGGCGGGGACCTGTCCTTTCTGTCCCGTGTCCTCAGCGCCCACCCAAGGCCTGGAGCTCTGGGAGGAGGGGCACCCAGCGCCCGGGTGGGGGCTCCTGCTGGTCACACCAGCTCGACCCCAGGCTTGGCCCTCCAGGCTCCCCTGCTACCCACCCCCGGCCGCCGATGTCACACCTGATGCTGCCAGGTGTGGGGACCAGGGCCGCATGGCCCTTGTTGGGTGGACGGGCAGCTGTGTGCCCGAGAGCCTGGTGAGCAGGCGGCAGGGAGCCCAGTGGGGAGCGGGCCGGCCTCGGATTGGTGGTGACCTCACCAGGATGCAGCGGGAGGGAGGGAGAGGTGCTCCCCGCGTTCCGCCTGCGCCTGGCCCACCCGCTGCTTGCCCAGGTGAGGCCCTGCCACCCCTGGCAGCCCCTGCTTTTGCCGGCCCAGCCCCAGGAGGGGCGGGCGCCTGTGGGCCCTGCAGCACCAGGGACAGCTCCCCGCTCCTCCCTGGGGCGGGGTGACCACGAGCGCCCCCTGCCCCCCTGACTGCGCCATGGCCAGCTGCTGCAGGTCCCCGTTTCCGGGACTCTGACAGGGAGTCCAGACCCCAGGAGCACCACTGGGGCCCCGCCCCCACGCGCTTCCAGGGGGCTTGTGTACGGAGCTGGGCTCGGCTGGGAGCGGCCCAGGTCCCATCCTCACGGCCCGCCTGGCCTGACCAGGCTCCTAAGGCGGGAGCCCCTGCGGCTCAGACCCAGGTCTGTCTGGGGGCTGCGCGGATTGGGGGACCACCGGCACGTCACTCAGCTGCGCTTGGAGCCTGGCTGCACCCCCATAGGCGCTGGCTGGTGAGCCCCGGTGGCCTCCCTCCCTGGCCTCTCCTGCCCCCTGTGCTGGGGCTGCCGAGGCCCGCGGCCCCACAGACCCCTGTCACTCCTGGCCCGGCACACAGAGGTTCACGGCAGGAAAAGCCAGGCGGGCGGACTGGGCAGACCGGCTCCAGCCCCACTCTCCCCCGCTCCGGCTTCCTTCCTGGCCTCGACTGTCCTCATCCAAGAAAGGGACCGAGTGGGACCTGTCTCCCCAGGGTGGGGCCCACGTAGAAAGCCCGTCCTCGAGAGCCTGAGGAAGGTGTGGAGCTGGGACTGTGGCCTCATCCCCCCCTCCGCCCCGCCCCGTCCAGTACTCGCCGCTGCTGAAGAAGCTGTACTGCCAGATCGCCAAGACGTGCCCCATCCAGATCCAGGTGTCCTCGCCGCCGCCGCCGGGCACCACCGTGCGCGCCATGCCCGTCTACAAGAAGGCGGAGCACGTGACCGAGGTCGTGAAGCGCTGCCCCAACCACGAGCTCGGGCGGGATTTTAACGAGGGTGAGGCCCCAGCCCCAGCCCGGTGCCCGGGAGCAGCAGAGCCGTGGCGGTGAGGGTGGGGGGTGGGGGATGAGCTGACGGCGGGCTCAGCGTCCCCCCATTTCCTCCCAGCTCGGCCGGCTGGGGCCGCAGGGCAGGTGCCTGAGCAGAGCCGGGCAGGGCTGCTGGGCCTGGCACCCCCAGGGCACCAGGGCTGCTGGCCTGCGTCCCACCCCCTAGGCCCAGGGGCCAGGCTGAGTGCGGGACACACCTGGCCCGGGGTGGCCAGACCCGCTGGGCACCTCTGAGGCCGTGTCCCCTCCCGGCAGGACAGTCTGCCCCCGCCAGCCACCTCATCCGCGTGGAGGGCAACAACCTCTCGCAGTACGTGGAAGACCCTGTCACGGGCAGGCAGAGCGTCGTGGTGCCCTACGAGCCCCCGCAGGTAGGCCGGGCAGGTGGGCAGGGCCACGGGCACCTGTGGGGGGTGGGGCAGACACTCGCAGTCACCTCAGCCGGCAGACTCGTTTGTCCTGTGTACCCACATGAAGTCCATGGCACCGAGCGCCCCCCTCACGCCAAGGTCCTGCTCCTGCGGCCCCCTTGCCCTCAGGCCGCTCTGGGCACTGGGTCCCCATCTATGGGGGGGGTGGTGGCTAACGATCTCTGAGCTCAGCCCTCCTCTGTCCCCCTTTTTTAAAAAAAATATATTTTTATTGACTTCAGAGAGGAAGGGAGAGGGAGAGAGAGATAGAAACACCAATGAGGAGAGAGAATCATTGATCGGCTGCCTCCTGCCCGCCCTCCACTAGGGATGGAATCCACCCCCGGGCATGTGCCCTGACCGGGAGTCGAACCATGACCTCCTGGTCCATAGGTCAACGCTCCACCACTGAGCCACACCTCTGTCCTCTTCCCATCTGTCTGTTCCCACACACAGGACTCAAGGGTGGAAGGGCCGAGGCCGGAGGACGGGGATTCGTTGGGTACAGTGGGAGGGCAGGGGGATAGGAGAGACCCCAGTCAGGGCACAGCACCTGTGGGGCCTGGAGATGAGGGGTGACCGCTGGAAGGTGGGGGGTGGGGGAGGGTCTGCAAGAGATGGGCAGGATGCAGAGACCCTGGGGGGTTGGACCTTGACCTGGAGGCAGCGGTTCTGGGGGTGCCATTTTGGAGCCGATGTGGGGCCTGGCTGGGATGAAAAGCTGGGGGTGGAGAGAAGTGGGGGTGGGGGCCGAGGGTGATGGTGGGATGGGGGCCAGGACGGGGTGGACAGCGAGCCCTCCTTTCCTCTACCTGCTTCTGAAACCAGCGAGACCTTAAAAGCTGTTCCTGCCGCCCCCCCCCCCCCCTCACGCCTTCCAGGCCTAAGAGCAGCACTTAGCTTAGTGGGCCCAGGGCCCAGGTTGGGTGTGATTGCCCTGCCCTCTCTCCCCCTTCACCCTGGCCCCACCTTCACCAGCCAGGGCTGGCCTGGCCTGGAAAGCAGGGCTCTCCTGCCCCCTGCTGGCTGTTCTGTGAAAGGCTCCGTTTTCCTAAGCCAGTGACCAGCGGTTAGATTCTGAGCCTGGAAACCATGACAACCTCCCATTTTGTGTTGCCGCATTGTCAGGAGCTCTGGGTTCAAGTCTCAGTCCTCCACACACTCCCTGTCAGCAGCCTGTGTGTCCACTTCCGTTAGGCGGTGTGTGCTGGGGCCGGGGGTCTGCCCGGCAGTGCAGGGCACCCTTGTGCCCAGGAGAGCCCACACCGTGCACATACACACCTGTGCCCACTCGCACCCAGCCTCCAGGACTTGACCTCCAACCTGTGCCAGGAGCGATGGTCAGGCAACCAGACCATAGCACTCTGTGCCTCTTGGCCAGGTCTGAGCTCATTTGGTACCCAGAGCCAGCACAGTGCTTGACATTCACATGAGTGAATAGTTGCATGGATGGGGGAGGGAGGGAGGGATGGATGAATGGATGGATGGAAGGATGATGGATGGATGGATGGATGGATGAGTGGATGGATGGATGGATGATGGATGGATGGATGGAAGGATGGATGAGTGGATGGATGGATGGATGATGATGGATGGATGGATGGATGGAAGGATGGATGAGTGGATGGATGGAAGGATGGATGAGTGGATGGATGGATGGATGGAAGGATGGGTGGGTGGATGGATGGCTGGATGGGTGGGTGGATGGGTGGATGGATGGATGGATGAGTGGATGGGTGGATAGAGGGTGAATGTATGGGAGGAGGGAAGAATGCATAAATGGATGATGGATGGATAGATAGATGGATGGATGAGTCGATGGATGGATAGATGAGTGGATGGATGGACGGATGATGGATAGAGGGTGGGTGGATGGATGGATGGATGAGTTAATGGATGGGTGGATGGATGATGAATGGATAGATGATGATGGATGGGTGGGTGGATGGATAGGTGGATGGGTGGATGAATGGGTGGGTGGATGGATGGGGGGGGGTCGATGACAAAGGACCACAGAGCATGCCCCCCTCCCCCAAGCCTCCCCAGGGCCAGGACCAGCTGTGAGGGATGGTGCTTTGAAGGCCAGGAGTCCCCACCTCAGTGGGTGGGGCCCAAGTGCTGACACTGAGCCCTTGCCCCGCCCCTGTAGGTGGGGACAGAGTTCACCACCATCCTGTACAACTTCATGTGCAACAGCAGCTGTGTGGGGGGCATGAACCGCAGGCCTATCCTCGTCATCATCACCCTGGAGAACCGAGAGTGAGCACACGGGGGCGGGGTGGGGGTGGGGGGCTAAGGGACGCAGCCCTGCTGCCGGGGGTTGGGGGGGGGGGTAGACAGGGAGGCAGAAGAGGTGGGCCCGAGGGGGCGTGGAGACAGGGAGGCAGAAGAGGTGGGCCCGAGGGGGCGTGGAGACAGGGAGGCAGAAGAGGTGGGCCCGAGCGGGGGGGGGGGGGGGGGGGGAGAGACAGGGAGGCAGAGGAGGTGGGCCCGAGGGGGTGGACAGGCGCCGGCAGAGGGTACGCGGGGAGGGAGGGCCTCCGGGGCTGCAGGGGCTGCTGGAGCAGAGCTGGGCCTGGGGAGAGCAGTGGATCGCTCAGTCCCGACCCCTTGGCCCCTCACAGTCCGAGCTGGGCGGGGAGGGCGGGCAGGGCTGGGGCCTGGAGCTCACCGTCCCGGCTGCTCCCCGCCAGTGGCCAGGTGCTGGGCCGCCGGTCCTTCGAGGGCCGCATCTGTGCGTGTCCCGGCCGAGACCGCAAGGCCGACGAGGACCACTACCGGGAGCAGCAGGCCCTGAACGAGAGCGCCGCCAAGAGCGGGGCCGCCAGCAAGCGCGGTGAGCAGGGCTCCGGCCGGGGGGCCAGGGGCGGGCGGCGGGGGCCACCCCGTGTTAGTGCGGCCACCCCCGGGTGAAATGCAGGCAGGGGGCGTCGTGAGCCTGTGTGGCCGCCGGGTCCAGCTCCATCCAGCGGGGGCGGGGGCGGGGGCGGGGGTCCCATTGGCTGGGTCTGCATTGTCCCGCCTCCTCCCCGCCCGCCCTCCAGCCTTCAAGCAGAGCCCCTCTGCGGTCCCCGCCCTGGGCACCGGCGCGAAGAAGAGGCGGCACGGGGACGAGGACATGTACTACATGCACGTGAGTGTCCCGGCCTGCGGGGCCCAGGCTGGCGGCGGGGCAGCCCGGAGCGGCCTGTCACCCTGGGAGCTGAGACCGGGCTCTGCAGGTGGCAGGGGCATGAGGGGAGAGCAGACGGGGCGGACGCAGGGAGAGCGGACTCTGCCAAGTGAGGGTCTGCGCCTGCAGCTCCGAGCTTGGATTCAGCCTGTGGATGACGCAGCTCCTCGGGGAGGGGGCAGGCATTAGGACCCCCCCCCCTCAGTCTAGGTCTGGCAGGCTGCTCACTGTCACCCACGGCAACACAAGTATCACGTGATCTGAACCATCCAGTTGGCGGATTAGGTCACCACGTGCTGGGCTAGGACCGGCCTTCCATTAGGCGAGCTTTTCACTTTTGAGTCAAGAAGGAGTCCCTTCTTCTAAAACCCCCTATTCGCTGAGTTCTTTGCCCCTGAACCCCGAGTGTGCTGAGCGCTGGGGAGGGGTGGAGAGAGGCGGGGTGAAGGCTCAGGGGCAGGGAAGGGGCGTGGCTGTGTGGACAGAGGACACCAGCCCACCCTCCTGGGAAGGAGGGAAGGAGGGCCTGAGGGTCCCGAGGCGACCGGGCTCCTGGGCAGAGGCTGCCTCCCGTCGCAGGTGCGGGGCCGGGAGAACTTCGAGATCCTGATGAAGGTGAAGGAGAGCCTGGAGCTGATGGAGCTGGTGCCCCAGCAGGTGGTGGACTCCTACCGGCAGCAGCAGCAGCTCCTGCAGCGGCCGTGAGTGCCACCTCCGCTGGGGGGGGGGGGGCGCTGCCCGTGGCCAGACATCCCTCCTGAACTGCGGCCTCTGCACAGGCAGCGAGGCCCCGCTTGGCGTCCCCTCCTCCAGGAAGCCTTCCCTAACTGCAGTGGCCACGGCCGGCACTGATTTCTCTCCCAACAAGGGGCACCCTAAATGCCTGCTGCCTGGAGGGTGAGGAGGGGTGGTCAGAGCAGCACCAACCCACCAACACCGAGGGCGACTCCAGTGGCAAGAGCCGCCCCACCTCCCTCCCCGCGGCCTGGGCCCATGAGCAGGCACCTCGTCCTGTGCAGGCTGGGTGAGGAGGGAGGTGTCTCTGACCCTCCGCTCGGGGTCAGGGGTCAGGGTCCCCACCCCCCCCTTGGCAGGGGCACCAGGCGGAGGTGACTGATGGGCAAGCAGCGGCCTGAGCCCTGGCCCACACGGTTGTCACTTTCCGAGCAGGAGCCACCTGCAGCCTCCCTCCTACGGGCCGGTCCTCTCGCCCGTGAACAAACCCCACGGGGGCGTCAGCAAGCTGCCCTCGGTCAACCAGCTGGTGGGCCAGCCGCCCCCGCACAGCTCTGCGGCCGGGCCCAACCTGGGGCCCATGGGTGAGTCGCTGGGCGGTGGGGCCCCGGGGCGGGTTGGGGAGGCCCAAGGCTTGGCCCAGCTCCGGACAGGACGCTTCCGCCCAGCTCAGGGCCCACACGGGGGCCTCCCGCAGCAGCTCTGGCCACGGAAGCCCCCCCGGCCCAGTCCTGCTCCGGGGGAGGCTGTGCCTCGCCTCAGACAGACCCCCGCCTCCCGCCAGGCCCCGGGATCCTCAACAGCCACGGCCACGCCCTGCCGGCCAACGGCGAGATGAACAGCACCCATGGCTCCCAGTCCATGGTCTCCGGGTCCCACTGCACCCCGCCTCCCTCCTACCACGCCGACCCCAGCCTGGTCAGGTATGTGGGCCGCTGCTGGGCCCTGACACTAACCCACTGGCCCTGTCCCTTCGTGGCTCCTGGTCCGCGGGCCTGGACCTGGGCCGGCCTCTGCGTGCTGCCCGCCGTCCGTGTGTCAGTCCCTCTGCCGTGTGGAGAGCAGGCAGAGGCAGAGAACTGTGGGGAGTGGGTCCCCCACAAAAGCTGGGGTTCCCTTGGAGGCTGTGCCTCAGGGGAGCACGGCCATGACGCGGTGGCCGCGTGGCAGGGTGGCCGGTGGGGTGCCCAGGAGTCGCCTGGAGGGGGCAGTGCCCACCCAGCCAGGCGGGTTCTCTCTGCAGTTTTCTCACTGGCCTGGGCTGTCCCAACTGCATCGAGCGTTTCACCTCCCACGGCGTGCACAGCATCTACCAGCTGCAGAACCTGACGCTGGAGGTACTGCCCGCCCGCCCGGCCGCCCGGCCCAGGGCTCTCACCTCCCTCTGGGGTGGGCTCTGGCCAGTTCCTGTTCTTCAAGTGTGGGGAGGGGGCTGTGAAATATAGGAAACCTTTTCCCCAAGTCGGTCCATATCCCCACCTCTGCCTTTGGCTGAAGTCCACTCAGGAGCGTAGGCAAGTCTGGCTGTGCAGGCGGTGGCTGAGGGTGGCACGGGTGGTGGGCTGGGGTGGCACAGGGGTGGGCTGGGGGGGCACAGGGGTGGGCTGAGGGTGGCACAGGGGTGGGCTGGGTGGAACAGGGTGGGCTGGGGTGGCATAGGAGGTGGGCTGGGGGTGACACGGGTGGGCTGGGGTGGCACAGGGGTGGGCTGGGGTGGCATAGGGGTGGGCTGGGGGTGGCACAGGGGTGGGCTTGGGTGGCACAGGGGTGGGCTGGGGTGACACAGGGGTGGGCTTGGGTGGCACAGGGGTGGGCTGGGGTGGCACAGGGGTGGGCTGGGGTGGCACAGGGGTGGGCTTGGGTGGCACAGGGGTGGGCTGGGGTGACACAGGGGTGGGCTGGGGGTGGCTGGGGTGGCACAGGGGTGGGCTGGGTGGAACAGGGTGGGCTGGGGTGGCATAGGGGTGGGCTGGGGGTGGCACAAGGGTGGCCTGGGGTGGCACAGGAGTGGGCTGGGGTGGCACAGGGGTGGGTTTGGGTGGAACAGGGGTGGGCTGGGGTGGCACAGGGTAGGCTGGGTGGAACAGGGTGGGCTGGGGTGGCATAGGGGTGGGCTGGGGGTGGCACAGGGGTAGGCTGGGTGGAACGGGGTGGGCTGGGGGTGGCACAGGGTAGGCTGGGGGTGGTGCAACTGGAGATCACTGGCCCCGCTGCCAGGCTATCCTTGGTTTGGGGAAGAGGGGCTGCCTCTAGGGCTTAGAGTTTCAGAAGGCAAAGGCCGGGGGCCCTGGGCACTGGTCAGCGTCAGCGCCTCGCACACGGGAACGCAGGCTCTCAGGGCTGCCGGCATGCTGAGCTCAGCACAGACGGGCTAACCCCAAAGCCGGCCTCGAGTTTCTCCTAAACCACAAAGGACTGCTCCTGCTCTGGGCGCCGGGCCGGAAGGCGCTTTAGCCAAGGGAAGGGCAGGCTGAGGCCCAGGAGGCTCGGCTGTGGCCGCTGGAGCCCAGCCCGGAGCCACAGGCCAGGCACAGGTTTGTCAGAGGGACCGGGGCCATTCGCTCAGAGGACGGCCCTGTCAGCGGCCTGTGTGTCCACTCACGTCCCTGGTGCCCCGCCGTGTTAGCCCTCACGGCATGATGAGCGGGCAGGGGTGGGGGACCCGGTGCTCAGCGGTGGTCTCAGGGTCCGGGAGCCAGGAGGTCCTCCAGGGCCCCGCGCATTGGTCACGCGGATTGTAGATGGGCCCCAGGCCGTGCGCAGCTCAGCAGTGACCACACGCTCCGTCCTAGCACATGCCTCACCCCTTAGCTCTCCTGGCACCTCTGTCAGGGCCCCCAAAACAGGGTGTGTCCAGGCCCCCCGCAGGGAAGGGGGGGCCCAGACTCCGGTCCCTGTGGGCCTCGCAGAGCTGCTCTATTGTGCCCCACTGTCCAGTTCCAGGGCGTCTGGGGCCCTTTAGGACAGGGGGTCCCTGGCCTCCCTCCTGGTCTTGGGGGTCCTACAGGTCAGGGGGTCCCTCGTCCCTCCTGGTCCTGGGGGCCCTGCAGGTCAGGGGGTCCCTGGCCACCCTCCTGGTCCTGGGGGCGCTGCAGGAGCAGGGGGTCCCCAGGCAGAGGGCGCGCTGGGAGGGGATGGGCAGGGCCTGCGGCTCCGCCTCTGACCAGGCCGCGCCCCCGCCGCTCTCGCAGGAACTGGGCGCCCTGGAGATCCCGGAGCAGTTCCGGCTGACCATCTGGAGGGGCCTGCAGGACCTGAAGCAGAGCCACGACTGCGGGGCGCAGCCGCTGATCCGCTCCAGCAGCAACGCGGCCGCCTTCGCCCTCGGCGGCGCCGGGGAGCTGCCGCGCCAGCGCGTCATGGAGGCGGTGCACTTCCGCGTGCGCCACACCATCACCATCCCCAACCGCGGCCCCGGCGCGGGCGCGGCGCCCGACGAGTGGGCGGACTTCGGCTTCGACCTCCCGGACTGCAAGGCGCGGAGACAGCCCATCAAGGAGGAGCTCGCGGAGGCGGAGGCCAACTGACGGGCCGGGCGCGCGGCCGGGGCCCGCGGAGAGCGCGCCGGGGCCTCTGCGGACCGAGGCGGAGGAGCCTGGCTTTGTCTCCTGCTTCTGCTCAAAATCTGCCCCGGGAGGCCGGACCTGGGGCCGAGCCCGGGGCAAAGCCAGGCCCAGCCTCCAGAGCCCGGGAGAGGCCGCCCGTGGGCCGTGGGCCGTGGGCCGTGCGCCTGGCCCGGAGGGGCTAGCGGAGCTGCTGCGCGGAGGGTGTGCGGAGCCAGCGATGCCGGAACGGCCGGAGCCTCCTCCCGGCTCCGCAGAGAGTGGTCCTTAGAGATCAGAGGAGCCCCGCGGATGGACGCATGGACGGCCACACAGTCTCCGGGTCCCTGGCCGGGAGCCACCACGCAGGGTTGTGTCTAAAGCATTTCTTTCCAGGAGGTTCTCCAGACTGTGTCCCAGGCTGGGGCCCTCGCTGGACTCGAGGGTCAGCCCCCGCCCCTCGCACACTTGACTGCTCGTCCCACTCCCACTCAGCTGCCCACCACCTCCTGCCCCCACGAAGGCCAGACTCTCGCTGGACTTGGCGAAGCTGGGAGGGGGCATTGCCAAGCGCACCGTCCCTCCTGGGGGCCCAGGGAGCTCCTGGAGGGGGGGGAGCACCCCCAAGGCCCTGCTGCCCCCCCCCCCCCAAGGCCCTGCTGCCCCGCTGGCCACAGCCTCCTCTCTCGGGGACCATCAGTAGACGAGGAAGGCGGGCTCCTCAGGGCAGGGCGCCATCGCTGCTTGATAAAACGATACCGTCTACATGGTGGATCGGCCTTCTTTCTTAAAGAAACTCGCTTTTAACATTCCCTGTGGGAGTCAGCCCAGGGGGCCCAGGTCCTCGCAACAAGCCGGGCTAGAGGCTGAGGGGCTCCCCCCAGGGCCCTGGTCTGGCTTGAGGAGCTGAAGCCGGATGGAGAGGCCGCCCGGAGGCGCTGGGGCGGGGCGGGGGGAGCCCTCCTGTCCAACAGCACCCCCCCCCCCCCGGTGACCATGCAGGTTGGAGGCTGGGGCAGGGAGACCCCCCTCCCCCGCGAGGGAGCCTGACAGGAAGGTCCCTCCTGGGCTGGGAGGGGGCTGGTGGGAGCTGGGCTGCAGGGCAGGGATGAAGCCAGCCCCTCGTTCCAGGCAGGGGTGGGGGGTCCTGACCAGCGGGCACGCTGAGCTGAGACCCCGCTGGGGCAGGCGTCCGGCGCTTCCCAGTCAGCAGGTCCCTGTCCCTTGCCGGGTCCCTGCGGGTCACTCCGGGCTCAGTGCCCCTGTCACTGATGGCTGCACAGAAGCAGGTGAGGCCCCAGGTGGGGGAGGTGGACACAGCCCTGGTGGCCCTGGGTTTGCTCGTGGCTGGGGACTCCTAGCTGACGCCCTTGGGTCTGGAGCCAGGGCGGCTCCCTCAGGCACAGGGTCCGCTCTGAGGAAGGGAGGTGGGTGTCACCTGCCAATTTCCTTGTAGGTTTCCAGGCACAGGAGAAGTCCGGGTGGGGAGGGGTGTCAGCAGGGGCGGGGAGACCTCCAGTGGCTCAGAGCTCTCCTGACCGGTGAACAAGGCCACAGGCCTCCACCCCAAACCCTACCTCAGGGTCCTCTCCAGGCCGCGCCCTCACCCCAGTGGCGTAAGCATCCCAGCCTCCACCGGGTTAGAAGCAGCTTCCTCCTCCGCCTGGCGCCTGGGTGTGAGGCAGTGGGGCCCCCTCCCCTCCCTGCACGCGGCCCCAGACCCACACACCACCCCCTCCCTGCACGCGGCCCCAGACCCACACACCACCCCCTCCCTGCACGCGGCCACAGACCCACACACCACCCCCTCCCTGCACACGGCCACAGACCCACACACCACCCCCTCCCTGCACGCGGCCCCAGACCCACACACCACCCCCTCCCTGCACGCGGCCCCAGACCCACACACCACCCCCTCCCTGCACGTGGCCCCAGACCCACACACCACCCCCTCCCTGCACGTGGCCCAGACCCACACACCACCCCCTCCCTGCACGTGGCCCCAGACCCACACACCACCCCCTCCCTGCACATGGCCCAGACCCACACACCACCCCCTCCCTGCACGCGGCCCCAGACCCACACACCACCCCCTCCCTGCACGCGGCCCCAGACCCACACACCAGCCCCTCCCTGCACGCGGCCCCAGACCCACACACCACCCCCTCCCTGCACGTGGCCCCAGACCCACACACCACCCCCTCCCTGCACGTGGCCCCCGGACCACATGTCAGGGTTGTCAGGGCCCCTGGAGGCTCTGACTGGCGGCCAGGGGTGTGAGCCCCAGGTAACAGCACAGCTCACTCTAGCAGGCACCAGCCTTTGCCAATAGCTGGAGGTGCTCAGCTGGGGGTCTGCAGTCTCCCCAAAACACCACCCCCCCATCGAAGTTCCAAGGTCGCAGTCACGGTGGAAGCCGCTGGGCTCTGGGCCACTGGGGGCTGGGCGTGGCGCCGCCCCTTCTCACACTCACAAGGCCCTCGGCACATGTTGCTGCCATTTCCCAGATGGGGAAACTGAGGCCCAGCAAAGAGGTGGAGGGACGCTGCTCACCAGACCTCGAGGACGCCTGCCTGCCCATAGCCAGACACCCGTCAGGGCCCACACCGGGAGGCCCCAGTCAGCTACCCACCTTCGTCCCCGTGCCCACCCTGTCCCCCAGCTCCAGCGGCTCCAGGACGGGCTCTGGCTGCATCTCCATGTCGGCCCCCAGGGCTGCACTGCCGGGAAGCCGGCCTTTCACCTGCCCAGCGGCCAGGTCCCCAGCACAGACCAGGGACAAGCTGGGACGTGGTGTAACTTGTCGCCACACAAACACGCGCCTCTCTGTCGTCCGGCCGGTCAGGCGCCTTCCTGCTCACGTTGGAGAAAACGCCGTCGCTGGTGAAAGGCTGCGGGGACAGGCGAAGGCCCCGCCCGGCGGGGCGCGCCCGGTGCGTCCTGCGGGAGGCGCGGTGTGTGTCGCGCGTGTTGGTGCGGATTGTGTTTCTGTGACAATAAAGCACGTGTCCCGGTGACTGTCTCTTCCGAGTCAATCTGACCGGAGCCACGCGGGCTCCCGCTGGGCGAGGGAGGCGGCAGCCCCACGCGGGCCGGCACCAGGTGGGCTTCTCCCGTGTCCCCGTCATGCAACTGACCCCGGCGCCCTCCCCGCTGCTCCGCGGACCCCAGACAAGAAGGCCCTGGGGCCGGGGCCCCGCGAAGTCAGCCCACCTCCCGGCCACGCTCTCCCCAGCCCGTGAGGCCGGGTCTCGGTCTTAGGGACGCCCCATGTGGCGCTGTGAGGAGCACACCCCCCTCCGTGCGGTGGGAGCCACGTTACGGGACTCGGGGTGCTCCCCCCAGGCTGTGCCTGTCCCCGAGGCTGGCTGCTCGGGGCCTCCCGGCAGCAGAGTCACAGCGTTTGCTCTTTCGGGTCTGACCTCCGTCACTGAGCAGAGTCCTCAAGGTTTGTCCCGCTGTGGCGGGCATCGCAGGGTCCTTCCTTTTATTTATTTTTAAATTTCATTTTATTGATGTCAGAGAGGAAGGGGGAGGGAGAGAGAGAGAGAAACATCCATGATGAGAGAGAATCATGGACCACCCACCTCCTGCAGGCCCCCCACCGGGGATGGAGCCCGCAACCCGGGCCTGTGCCCCGACCGGGGACGGCATGGTGACCTCCTGGTTCGTAGGTGGACGCTCAGCCCCTGAGCCCCGCGGCGGCCTGAGTTTTCTTCCGTCAAGGCTGAGCCGCCCTCCCTGTGCATATGCTCCGCGTGTTGCTCCTCCGCCGTCTGTCCACCGGCACGGCCGCTCCCGCCGCCGGGCGAGTCCTGCTGCGGTGCACGGGGCTGAGCGGTCCCCGCACCCCTTTCCGGTCCCCCCAACGCGCTCGCACTTCCACCTGGAGCGCTGCCTCGCCAAGCAGCCGGTGCCCGAGCCCGGGTGTCGCACGATCTCGGGAAGGCGGCCACGAATTCTCCCCGCATCCCAGCGGGAGTGCTGAGCGGCCTGGGGACACACGTGTCCGTCCGTCCGTCCGTCAGGGGAAAGGGAGCTTGATGCGGGCTCGCATAGATCAGGAAGAACACGGTGTGTGAATTTGCATGTGTTCTGGTCAGTTTCACTCAAACGTCCTTCACGAGTGCAGGCAACTCAGCACGTGTCCGGGAGGACACCCCAGAGCAGGAGCCACCACCTGCCCACAGAAGTGCTCAGTGGACTGGCCGGTGTGGCCCAGTGGGAACCAGGAGGTCACGGTTCGATCCCCGGCCACGTGCGAGGGTTGCAGGCTCGATCCCCAGTGTGGGGTGTGCAGGAGGCAGCCGGTCCATGATTCTCTCTCATCATGGATGCTTCTATCTCTCCCTCTCTCTTTCTCTTTGAAATCAATTTAAACATATACATATCCTCCTATATAATAAAAGGGTAATATGCAAATTGTCCCCTCGACTGGGAGTTCCACCTGAGTTTGACCACAGGGCGGGGCCAGCACACCAACCACCCAGGCCACTCCTCCGAACCGGCCCCGCCCTGAGTGGCCCCCCACACCCTGATCAGGGCCGGGGCGTGCTCGCCAACCTCCCGTGTCCCCTCCCCCTGGCCAGCCTCTGGTCGCTGATCGGCCGTTCGGGGCGGGCCAGACCCCACCCGTGCACAGCTCCGTGCACCAGGCCTCTACGAAGGGAAACGTACAAAGGCCGCTTCTCTTCTTTCCTTTGAAATACTGTTAAAAGCAAAATGTATAACATTGTAGGCGGATGGAATACTTTTGACAACTATAGCTTCTTTATTAAGATAAAAGTCACCATTTTAGAGTGTGGCATCAGTGGCAGGTAGCAATGGACCCTACAGGCAGCAGTCACCACTATCTGGTCCCCCCAAAGGGACCTGCCCATGAGCACCCCTCCACCCTCCATCTTCCAGCCCCTACCCCACCCCCATGAGCACCCCTCCCACCCTCCATCTCCCAGCCCCTACCCCACCCCCATGAGCACCCCTCCACCCTCCATCTTCTAGCCCCTACCCCACCCCCATGAGCACCCCTCCACCCTCCATCTCCCAGCCCCCCACCCCCATGAGCACCCCTCCACCCTCTATCTCCCAGCCCCCCAACCCCGCCCCTGCCCCCACCACTGCAGATTTGCCTGTTCTGGACATTTTACGTAAATATAATCACACGCCATGGGGCCATTTATGCCCGTTGTTCCTTTTGTTTTTGTTTTTTTAAAACTGCAGCTTTAAAACCATGAAATGGCCATAAAGAAACTTCAGCCTGATGCAGAGACTCAACAAGGCCACTTCTTTTTTCTTAATGTTTTTATTGATTTCAGAGAGGAAGAGAGAGGGAGAGGAATAGAAACATCCATGACAAGAATCACTGATCAGCCGCATGCCCCCCACTGGGGGTGGAGCTCGCAACCTAGGCATGTGCCCTTGACCACAACTGAACCCCGGACCCTTCAGTCCATGGGCCGATGCTCTATCCACTGAGCCACACCATCCGGGCCAAGGCCACTTCCTAAAGTCCTCTGTGAGCCCAAGGCCTGGCATCCAAGTGTCCGGGACAGTGGCCCAAGCCAGGGTGACTCAGTGAATAGCGTGTCGGCCCATGGACTGAAGGGTCCTGGGTGTGATTCCGGTCAAGGGCACGGACCTCGGTCACAGGCTCATCCCCGGCCCCGGTTGGGGTGCGTGCGGGAGGCGATGAATCGATGTGTCTCTCTCACATCGATGTTTCTCTCTCTGTCTCTCCCTCTCCCTTCCACTCTCCCTAAAAATCA